TTCATTGACATATTTCGCCTCTTGTTTTGCACAGAATTCGTTATATTTCGTTATATTGTCCATTATCAAAGTGTAACTGATTGTAAGGAAATGCGATTGTTGAAACGAACGAAACCAGCCCGAGAAAACAACAACGATGCGATGATTGAATTTGGCCAACTGCGCGTGCGCAGAGCCAACAATGTTGGCTAAGGTGGTCAAACGATCCAACATTTCACCTAACACTTCAAAACAATAGATTTGTCGGCTACCAACATTTTCACCTTAGTCAAATTTCATCCAGCATAAAAAATGACGATGTTGGGTGACCCAACATGGTGGTCAAACGATCCAACATTTCACCCATTTGACCAGGGCTTATGTCTCCGTCACCTTTTTCACTGCATGTTTTTCAGGGAAAATCGATTCAGCAGTTTTTCCAAATCATATGTTTTTGCAGTTCCATTAGTTTTTAAATGGGTTCGTGGAGAGACAGTAGACAAGGTGAAAGAAAAATAGCCTTGCTACTTTTGTAGGGAGCATTATAAATTCTATCTTTGATCTTCTGCTTTTATCAATATTCAAATTGCTTCATGTCCACTCTGTATGGACTCTTGTCTTGCAGATGTTGTTATTGTCTATTTTGGTTGCAAAACTTTGTAACGCCTATTGTTGCACCTGTCCTTGCTTTTTCGCTGTTCGCCGACTAAACTAAACTAGCTTTTACTGTTTGACATAACGAAAAAAAAAACAAAAAATGACTGCATTATGGACCATAGCTTTTTCTAAGACCGTGTAGTGAAATTTCTCCAAGCTGCATTGATACTCTACAGTAGAAACCAAAATCCGTTTATAAAATTTACGAATTACTAAACAAAACACAACAGTACATCTAGAATTTATAAAATTCTTGCAGTACATCTCTTCCCTCCCCTTCTAAAAGTCCTGCCTGCTCCTTTGCAGCGCCCAATATTTTCTTTTTCCTCCTAAAATAGTACATGGTGTGAATTGTAATGTTCTACTGAACGTACGTTAATGAAACGTTGAATGTCTTCACAGCGACAAGTGTTGCCATGGCCGTTGCTGCTCTACCTGTTAACCATAACCTATCTGGTTGTGTATCTGTAGGGGGCATATTAATTCTTTGAAAGCGTTCCTACATCTTTTTTTCCCTATCACTCGTACCCCTCTACACACTCCAATTACCTCGCATACAAGTCCATGAAGCCGTTTATGTACCCTTGGTACCAGAGCCACAAAATTTTGAACGAGAAAATAGAAGAGGAGGACTCCGCTTGGCTTTCCGTTTACGCGCTCTAAATTTTGTGGCACTGACAGCCAGGGTACCATTTATGCTTGCTCTTACTGGCTCTGACTACCAGAATAACTTCACCAAATTCAGGATGAAATTCTTTCTAAGCTCTCTGTATGTCATTTCTTCCGCATCTGTTTATTTGTCTTTCTAATTTCTTTCTCCATTTTACTTGGTCTGTCATTCTCTTCAATCTCACCCAGCATATAAACCTCCCTCGTAAATCATACCATTTGCTTTCAAGATTCTGAAACCAATCGTGTTCCTTCTTTAACTTTAAATGGTCCAATCAACTAAACAGATAATCATCCATCAATTGATGTAGCACGATCATTGCAATGTCTCAGAGATATGGTGGCACCTCAACATTCTGCAAATCATTAAACCATTGATCCATTTGTCCATTAAAATATCCCATAAAAGGGGTTGAGTTCATTCTAGAATAATCTTCTAGTGACGGCTTTGCACTCAAGGACGTAGGAAGCATTATAAAAGTGTGGGGGGCACCTGTTTAAAGGGGCATCCTAACAAAGATTCTATGAGGTTAAAAAACCTGTTTTAAAAGGCTCCAAAAAATATTTCAGAAAGCCTGAGTACAGTGATGTAGTTATCATTTTGGCATGTAGTTTACATGTTTTTCTCTGTGCCCAATTTGATTAGTCAAGCGCTGGTGTTAATATAAGCCACTTTTACCTGTGTCACCTCCCTTTAAAATACATTTCTTGCAGTCATTTTCTTGCAATCGTGTCAAACTTCGTTTATATCGTGTCAAGCGGCTTCTATATCTTTGTTTGCCCTGTCATCAAAAACCATTCTTAATTTGGTTCTAACAGTTTCTTCTCTGATTGCTTGTTTAAGACATGTAATAAACCCTCTTTCTAATTGGTACCTCTGGAGCTTCCTCTGTTATTCCCACCTTCAACTGTTCTTGCTTATAGCCTCATACTTCTCTTTCTTTGTTGATGACATCAAATTTTCTAATCTTGCCCCGTTTTGTCGCATATTTGAGCTCCGTGGTATCCTGTTAAAATGTGGATTTCATATATTCCACTTCTACTTTCTGGTATGTAAAAAGCATAGCCGATGCCAATGGGGGTTATGGGAGGGCGCATCGCCCCCCCCACTCCTATAAACAAGGCTGTTTGTCGAAAAATCTAAATGCTTGTCGGAAAATTTTATGACTCTCAACAAGTCAGTTGCAATGACTGGCTGATGATTAACGTCTTAGCTTTTTATAATTTATTAGTAGCAATTTTGCTTAATTGATTATTTTTTGTTGCATTGTCTGAAAATATCCAAAGTTGGTCCTCGCGGAATAATTTAATAGTCCTTTGTAACAACACTTTGAGAGGAAATATATCTGCATCTAAAATATAGCCAATCGGGTTGTACTGTAGGTCGCTAGACCTATATCTAGCAAATGGGAGCTCATAAGTAGGTACGCATGCGTAGCATCAATTTACCATTCAAGTAGATATGTCGTCGAAATATTAAGATCCCCACCTCCCCCCTATACATCACTGCCCGTGTCGGCCCTGGTAAAAAGTCTTCACATGGCTGAACTTAATCTTGAAATATTCACTTTTTCTTTTTCTTCGTAAGCAAAATTTGTCTGGTCTAGCCCCACTTCCTCTATTTCAAACCTTTCCCCTTCTGTGGTATATGTCATTACTTCATACACTGCTTTTTTGGCACCTCTTCCATACCCTTACCAGTTTTTAGACTGGTAGCTTCCCAGTGAATATGTTTAGTCTCAGCATTTCCACTGCTTTTTGACTACTATAAATCCTAGTGGCCCCTGTGCCAACTACCCCCTAAATCTGCACCCGTTTCAGCTCAACAGGAAACAGTGGTCACATACAGTCCTGAGTCCTAACTTTAAATGTAAGCAATCAGGCTTTCCTCTGTTTTCTGGACTCTTTCTCCTCCTCGGTCTTGCAGGTTGATAACAACTAGTAAAACATGAAATTCCGCTATCGGGCAGCATTTACTGGAATACCCAGATTGTGCTAAAACTATAAAGGCGGCAAATCCCGATCGTGGTTCCATCTAGCAGTTTCGGAATCTATCTACATAAGTAGGGAAGACCCGCTATTGTGTAGACAGAAGGGGTTTGTTTTAATCTTAAAACTCCATTGGTAACATTTTCAATAGGCAAGCGGCACTGATTGGCCAACCTAAACAGTCGTGTGCTCGCAATTGCAATTTCTATCCACAACTGGTATATTTCCTAGCGTAGAGTTTTAGGTCTATGTTCTGACGTTTTATGCTCTGAAGAGTGTCAAACGAAAAGCTTCAGTTTATTCAAATGTTTGCTTTTTTCAAAGCAATGCTTATATTTTTATGAATGCGTGTTACGCGATACCAAAAGTTCAACTTTGAATTTACTATAATGTTTCCATTAATAGGCCTTAACCAGTAGACTGCGTTTTCAGTAACGCACTCAAGACATTCGATTGCTTCTCAAGGTTTTTGCAGCATTCAAATACTATACTGTAATGAGGACAATGGCATACGTTTAAGCTTTCTATAGTGTGTACAATATCAGTAATGAAAACATTGAGCAATAGAAAACCCAAGGATTGAGCCTTGTGGAACACCAGGCGCTATGCTCTTCCAATCACAAAAAGTACTGCTTATCTAAACCAACTGTTTGAATGTTAGCTATATATGTGTTCTTATCTCTTGTTACTGAAGCCATAGGCAGCCATTTTTACTTCAAGCAAGCCAAGACTGAGGCAGTTTTAAACTTCCAAGTGGTCCGTTAGTACTACTCCTACAATGCCCGACTGATTAACTGTTCTGTAAAAGCGTCTCGAAACATGTTGTATACTAGAACTCTTCGAATATCCGCATAGAAGATCGGAAGATTGCTTGGATGAAGGGCCGCACCTGCATAGTCAGTAATCTTTCAAAAACCTGCAATAGGAGCGAAACATGCGACAATCATAGATCAGTTGATGAAAGATATTGCGCGCTGACACTTTGATAGTCCTCCAAGAGCATGTTAATATAAAAAACGTTCCCCAATCGTTTGGTCAGGAGAATCCTACTAGGAATTGTAAATTTGTTAGCAGAATACAGTCATGAAAAACTTTTTTTGTAAGTGCAAAATAGACAACACAGCAAATTTTCTGCACGAAGGTTCCGAAGACTAAAAATAAAAAACAGACCTTTCGCATGACCTCCCTGAAGTTAAATCCCTGTAAGAGCCCTAATGCTGCGCTAAATAGAAAATGACATTGGAAGATCCCCAATTAGATGTATTTATCTGGTAATGCCCAGCTGTCTTTTCAGTAATTTGAAATTGTGTTGAAATTGCTGGCAAGGATATAGTTTGCAGGTTTAAAGGAAGGTTAAAAACTTTTTGCAACTCTGTATTGGAATAAACTATTCAATTTTTAGATTGCATTGGGATGAATGACAAGCAAAATAACAAGCTAGGGGATCTTCACTGTATTTTAGTCACTAAGCTTATAGCTTCTCCTTATCATTTTGGTATGAAATAAGGATTTGAACCTTCCTCTTTCAAAATTGGTTGGGGTTTCAACATAATGAAAGCACCTTTTCATTAGGGACTGTCGAATTTCCACAATAAACTAAGGTAAAAACGTTTCTGTTCATTTCATGTTCAATGTAGCTATGTCAAAACTAACTTGAGGGGAAGATGGTTCAGCTTGATTTGCTTCTGCTTACATTCAGTTCTGCCTTAAGAAATTGTATGCGAGAAACCTTTTGTGAAAGTAAATAATCTAGACGGTGGAAGGATTAAGCAACAAATACGAGTATGTCTGTCTGAAGACTAAGTCAAAAATACGAATGGTTTACAAAGTAATTTCGATAGGTTTTCTTTTGGGTAAAATACGCCGAACAGTCGTTGGCATTATTGTGAGGTAGGAAGAAAAAGCAGTCTCATAATTTTTGTGGACGATTGTAGACCTAAAGAAGGAGATCAACTCAACCAGAATTAAAAGAATTGTTTTCGTGTTGTTACTTCCGACTTATGGTTTTTATTTTTAAGTATCATTCCTCTGATACTAGTGGTGAAGAACTCTTCCTGCATTTACTCAAACGAAGGCAGCACTGCAATGTATGTTGAATGAAAGTTTTTTATCAGTTGCGTGTATTTAAAGCCTGGCTCTCGTGTATCGCAGATCATCGCCGATGCAAGTGCTCTCATATATTGTGCAATTTCGCAATTTTCTGCTATCACTTCACAGACAATGAGATAAGACATCAGAACGAGAATAGGCGAGGAGTGGCAAAGAGCCTTTTCCTTCTTTTAAGCTAGACGCTCCTCCGCTTCTCCACTCCTATCTTCTGTTTCTACTCTTAGATTTACGAAGCTGCCACGTATTTTCGAAAATATCTCGAGAAAGAAGACTTTCCCGTAGCTTCTGCGATTTTCTTCCAGAAATTAGCTTTTACTTTCCTTTAAAGCCTTTTCCTGTCCTTTAAAGCCTTTTTACTGTTCTACATGATGTATCGTAAAAATGCCCAGATATTCTAATTTCTTCGATAAATTGCGGATCCGATAAGGTTCTTTCTTGGAACTAATCCTTCTGTTCAGCCATTTTGCTTTGCGCAGCGTTGCCATGGAGGTAGACAGGAAACTAGACATGAAACTAGACATGATCACCGAACAGTCCAGATAATGTTCTTTTATATATCTTCCCATCGGAGCTCATCGCCGATGATCGTAAGAACAATCCCATTTGGTTCTTCGGCGATGATCGCCGATGATCGGTGACATTTAAAAGTCATGTTCGAATACATCACAAGCATAGCAAGGCCATCATCGGCGATGATGTGAGAACCAGGCTTAATGTCTTAAACTGACAATGTTTTTGGCATTGGAGAAAAGAAGGGCTTTGATAGGTGGGGAAATGTCGTAAGAAGAGATGAAAAAAAGCTATTAGAAAGAGTTTTGATGAAGATGGCTGCCTGCACCTCTGTTTGTGAATATCCTTTTAATCATTGTTATTATTAAACTTACCATTCCATAAGAAGACCAATGCCCCTGTCTTTCCACAAACTCTACTTGTAATAGCTGAGAGTTTATTTACTTCGTATCAAGCTTGTCAAATAAGCCATGATAGGGCTCAAAACAGTAGTTGTCATTTGCATGTCTGACGTCTGTGAGGAGTGGTATTATCGAAATACAAACAAACTAGCAAACAAATACAACACCTTACTTTGATAGATTGTTTTAAATGATATTTCAGAATCTAACTCGGACTTGTGAAATGTACCTTTTAAACTGAAGTTATTTTTTGTGATAACGCTTACAAGCAATAACGCTAATAGGAACTGAAGCAGAACCGTATATTCTTGAAGCACGACAATTCCTGAGGTTATAAAACATATTTACAGTAAAAATACTACAGTTCAACTAGCAATGAGCAAAGAGATCTTTAAGCAGTCTCCTAAACTTTGTATGCTGCCAGAGGCAAAAGTAAATAAGGCGTTGTAGGGTAGATGGGTAACAGCTCTTATGTGTTAACATCTTAGTATTTTATGGTAAAATTCCAGGCTATATAATCAGCATACAATAATTTTTTGCTATGACGTCATCAGTTGGGAGCCCTTTTGCCACAGGAGCCCTTTTACGTATTAAATTGTCCACAGGTAGATTTTGAGTCTCCTAATTTTGTTTCTTATTAAAATCATTGGCAAGATCTTGTCTCTTATCAAACTTATGTTGGATTTCTAACATGAACATTTAGGAATCGTACAATACATCAATGTTTGAACGTTTTTAAGCAAATCATGATCAGTATTTTTAATACCATTAAAAAAGGCTTAGGTACCGCAAATACTTTAAATTCTTAATATAACCAATTTTAAGTGTCACAAATTTCAGGTAAAAAGTCTCTGATATGCGTATAGCTGATTTTATATAAAGATCTTTATTGTGTTTGTTCTTGTTCCATAAGCAAGTTGTAAATCAAATTCTGAATCTGGTTTTTCGCTATGGTTTGATTTATGGCAGAAAGCTTTCTCATCTCTGTTGTCATGAGCCTAGCAAAGAGATCGATGCTATCTTCCGAGCTTCTGTCTATCTGCTCTTCAAATCGCGACTCATTTTCCATTCTTTCAAAACTCTGTTCTTGCTTATATGTTGCTCTCTTGCTCATATTGTCAATAGGATCAAATGCAACAGCTGCCGTTCTGGGTGAAAGGGCTGTTTTGAAGCGTCTCACTTTGATGAATGGTATCAACCAAGACATGAATCTATACTGGTCCAGATTCTTTTTCGCCATCCCGATGTCTATCTCTGACGCACCAGTGTACTGAAGTTTTTTGAATGAATTTCTTTTCTTATTATACCGCTTTTTCAAATTTTCAAAAAGTCGTCTTGCTTCTTCTCCTGCAATAAAAGTTCAAAGGAAACTTAATATAATTAGAAAATATGCGAGCATTTTTCGACGCATACGAGCATACGAGCAGAAAATATATAGTTATTGGTTGGTGTTATGTCAATATAATTTAAACCAATATAGTTAAGTCAATATAATTTAATAATAGATATCTGAACCGGGAAGAAAGGGAGCACCTAGCTCACACCAGAGTCCAGTGGCGAAAATCCTGATTATTTTTGGGGGGAGGGGGCCTAAACCTACGACTTTCCAGTAAGGAGGCAGACTTAACAGGATGCCTCCTTACTCGAAATGTGATTGAAGTAAGGTAATACGGAACAAATGTGATTGCACTACGGTACTACGGTACAAGTGTGTCTGAATGTGATTCTGGTTGCAAAATACCAGGGCAAAGAAATGTTTGACTGCGCGTTGAACTTTATCATTATTACGCATGCTCCAAAACGGGGATCGCTTTCCGCAAACATTGCTAGAAGTCCACTCTTCTGTCTCCACAACCACCACGTATTTCTAGGACTAGCAGTGCGTGAGGAAGACGGTTAATTGTCTTACCGTATTTCTTGACATATCGACTGTTTTTATTGTATAACATGGAAAAGAGTAGGTTTCGAAAATTACACCTCCCCCGGCATTCACGTTTTGAAGTTTTACGTAATAAACATTAGAGTTAATGCGTGTAAAAATGAACTTTCAGATAATTTATAAAAAAGGACACCCTTCTACACCTCTTAGTAAAGGGGAGAGGATAACTTTCATTTGTCCCACTCTTCCGGCATCACCAGTGACAGCCCATAGCCCCGTCATGGCATGTATTTAGCCAGGGGTGTCGGTCGGAACTGGGGGTGAACCAGGGGCATGTGCCACTCAAAAAGGACCTCTTTAGAATTTGTGGAACAGTTCAATTTTTCTGCGACAAAGTGCCCCTTCCCCGACATAGTGCCCCTACCTATTCCCCTCCAACTCTGAAAATGAAACGGTTTCGATTCGACATACCTATATTTAACCAAAGATAATACAACACAGCCTCAGATGCTGACAGCCTCAAGAATTAAATAAACATTTGCAGTTGCACATCGTTGAGCAGGTTAAAAGGGTTTGTTTATCGAGTAAGTGAATATGGCAATGTTAATTTTCATTTCACCTCCTCTGCGTGCAAGAAATTCATTCCACATAACGAAAAGCAGTGATATAGGCCTACATCGTCAGAAACAACATGGGTCGGTATGCTGGATTTTGAAGAATCTTCCATTCACTTTACCTTCCTAAAGCACAAGATATTTTACCTTGAGCGAATAGCTGCGATGAAATTGTTTACTCGACTTTCTCGGCGTATTTTATAAACGCCGTATCATATGTCGACTGGAATTTTAAACCAGAATCTCCTTACCATTTGCAAGTTTGAGTCTCTCTGAAACGTTCAGCCATGCGTTGTCAACAATTGAACTGTCTTTAAAACCCCTGCATGTTTTATCGTACAAGCACGGGTGCTTTCTTACAATCTCTGATAACTGCTTTTCGAATTGTGGTTCGGTATTTTCAACTTGTTCTTCCCCTGAATCCATTTAGAGCTGTTTTTCTTAAACCTTCGATGCGAAAGACTCGTATATTTGCTCGCGTTTAAAGCGTTAAAGGAAAAGAATTCGATATGCCACACCGCATCTTGAGTCGCCTTATTCAAATTTACATTGTTGTTTACAATGGGAGAATTCCCAGCGTGAAGCAGGTTTCTGAGGAGATAATGCGTTTAAGCAGTGAGGCTTCTCTTCTAAACACCTCCATAAAATTCTTTTCCTGTTGGATTCCGGTTTAAGTCATCGTCACCGACAGTTAAGTTCGATTATTTCCCAGTACGCGGATTTAGAAGAAGCGCGTCTGCTGAAAGTTTTTACGTCAAAGCGAACAATTTGCTTTAAGAGCTCTAAATTGATGACGTCACAATATTTTCTTTTTAGATTTTTAAATTTGGACCACATAACCTGAAAGAGCATATTAAAATACTTCTAAAATGAGTTCCGATACTGATGAGAAGGTTGGGGGGGGGGAGGGAAAATTTAACACCCATAATAAAAGATTTTGAGAAAAGCTCTATTGCTTTGCAAAAAAGTGGAGGGGGCATTGCCCCCGGCCCCCTTCCTTGGAAGCCATGTCTTTATGTTCACAACCGGCTTGATGTGTTAGAAATGGGCTATGATTAAGCACATGCTTTTCCCCATCAAATAACTATAATTTGGTATATGCCAAACGGCAAGCAAACTTCAAATCTTTCAGTGACCATACCCAATCTTGGTGCTCTTTTAGATTATGTGGTCAGAAGCCAAAAATACGAAAAGGATTCCTAGTAACGTTGAAATTTAATACTCTATTACAACCTACAAAACTATTCAATCAACCTTCTGTATTGTCAGACTTTTAGCAATTCATAAACTCCGACTTTGAAATATGTAGAAAAGTTTGTGTTGGAAAATCTCGATGTTTCTGAATTTTTGCTGTTTCTATTTTTCGATGGACCTGATCCTTCATCTTCTTAATGTGAATTTTGAGAAGTTATACCTTTGGGTTTTATCGTATCTTGAACAACCATACACCACTAAAACACTTCTATTGCCTGTTCTGGATTGCTCATTTGCTTTCTATCCCCTAGCAATATGAAAATTTCAGTGCCGTCGGAACGAAATTCATGGGGGGGGGGGGGCATTGTATTCCTTCTCATTCAGTACACTGTTATAAAGAAAATATACTACAGCTTGACAATTATTGGGGGGCCCAGCCCCTCACCCCCTCCCCCGGTTCCCACGGGCCTGAATTTTCATTAGATCGTTTCTTGAACAACCATGCACCACTAAGACACTTTTATTGCCTGTCCTGGATTGCTCATTTGCTTTTTATCCCCTAACAATATGACAATTTACATTAGAACTTAAACACTAAGAGCTCTAAAACACGCTGCAACTTGCCCGAGATATGACCACATAAGCATAAACTCTTTTCCGGTATATCACTGAAATTTTGTCTTTGTTCATAACTTAAACAACAAAGCCAAAACAACAATAATCCGATTGCAAACTTTCATCTTATTGGCAATATCTTACCCAATTTTCTCAAAAAACTGGCCTTGCATATTTAGAAGTGCTTCATGGTGTTTTTAAGGTTATGTCGTCATAATTCAAAATTTTAAATCTCGTCAGAACATCAGTCTTGGCTCCTCCATAACTAGTTCCCACTATTTTTCAATGAACTGTTGCAAAGATCTTATGGCCTGGCCAAACGAATAAAACATCTGTAAAACATTACAAAACATTTTTGTACCAACATTGTTGGACGATGTTTTATGTCCTGTCTAAACGAATCAAGCAAATGTTAAAACATCTGTGATGGTTTTCTCCATATGCTCATTACGCGAGAACTTCACAGTTCTATGCGAAATATATGGACAATTACAAAATTGCATCGTCACATTTTTATTTGCGATGATCAAAACTTCGTTTTTTTCTAACAAAAATATACTTTAGTAAATCTAATAAAAATTCAGTCCATATATATGACGAAAATAAGCATCTTCATAGATACATTTTTATTTGTGATGAATGTTTACCTAAAAATATCGTTAAACAGCCACATTGAAAATTTACTAGCCCCCTGGGAAGTTATAAAAATATTTCAAACCTAAAAGTACTCTTTATATGCTAAATCATCAAAATTACTTGAGAGATTTAAGAATAGGCACTTGGTTAGATTGTTGTAAAAATTTCCCTGTCTAAGATGTTTTACGAAGTGTTTGATGGAAATAAAATTTTGCGAAACAACATAAAACATCATAAAACATCGTAAAACATGATGGCCAAACGTCCAAAACATGTTTTATGCAACAATATTGGATGATGTTTTATGCAACAATGTTGGATGATGTTTTATGCCGATGTTTTATTTGCTTGGCCAGGGCTTTAGTTAACAACGTAGGATGCGGTTTTCTTGGCACGAAAGACGGGGGCCCCTAATGCCGCAAACCATACGAATTAGAGCCACAAAACGTCAATCCACACAAAGGCCCCGTGGCCTTGTGAAGCAGTTGGGCCAGAGTATCAGGAGTGGATATACACTTACCCTATTGAACGCTCCACTTTCAGCCAACCGCTTGTAAAATACGCCGCTCTTTGACAAACCCCGCCCTCTTTTTAGCTGTCGCTGCAACGTCACTTACATTTCCCTTACGCATTATTGTATAAAACGTAAAGAAGCTAGGTAACTGTAGCAAACACTCCTTCTAATTAGGCTTTCGAAAGTTGCGTCTACTCTTAGATGCCTAATAACCCCCCTCAGCTTATTAATTTTCCAAAATTAGTCCCCCTGCTTATCAAAGACCTTCCCCCTTAGATCAAAATTCTGTAAATACAACGCAGTAACTGTAGGAAGCTGTGAGGCAGCGCTTGACCTATCAGTTATTTAGTCAATGGTTGACCAGATCAACCACATCACTGACAGAAACAATATTTTTGGTTGAAAATCGTTCAGTCTGTGAAATCATCCAGGGAATCAGATGGGTAATGGATTCGTAGAGTATGGAGATTTTTTACGAGGGATCCTCCTACCGATCTCTATGGCCAATGCAGGATTTCCGGTTTCCAATCAATTTCGATTCCATTTACACGAGACCAGAATCAGTTTACACCATATCGCATCCAAACGGAGTAGTGTTGCCCCACGTCCAAGATTTACTCTTTGCTTTTAGGGCACCTTCTTGTGAAAAGCGTCTCTCTACCAACACAATAGAACGGTAGTGATTTTCGCAATGATTTCATAGCAAAAAAACAAGCAAGTTCACCTTCTTCTGTATGTATTGTTTTTTTCTGGCTTTGATGGCAAATGGGGGGGTTCCTCGAAGCTCAGATTGAGTCGAAGGTTCAGATTGAGTTGAGATTTCAAATGGTGTTCAGATTGAGTCAAGTTTGCAATTTTGTGGCTGATTTTCCATAGGTCTTTTGTGTGCCAACAGCCCCGCACCTCAAGCGCAGGTGCGCAAAAATCGTCCGAAAATATAACATGAACAAGCCCAATCAACTTTTCCAGTATATAATTTGATAGATCTGGTGCGCCCTCAGCGTTATGTCTGCTTCTTGGGTACGCAATCATCGTTCTCTGCATACTGAACAGTTGGCATTCATAGTGCTTTCACCTGTTGTGTTGTATTTCTGACTGTTGATTAGTGACACTGTAGAAACGATTTGTCACTTCTATCTATTATGCTGTTGTTGTACCGCCCTTTCAGAAATTTGGTTGGAATTCAGAGACAGTCGAATTAATGCCGTGTAAGGCCTTTGATTCGATTGAGGAACACGGCTTTTACAGTTTTCGTTAGTGATTTTTTGAGTTTACAGCTTTTTGGGCACAGAAAGAAACGGTATTCTTTGAAATAGGATTAGGTTTTTCAAAGACCCGGTAACAGCATGTTACTAGTTACTACGATTAAAGAAGTTTTGATACCTGCACAAATTGGAATTCATACTGGCACTGAATTGCTTTTCATTTCAGATCTTATCATCTTAAGCAAAAAATGAAATTAAATTTTCGTTTTTCAAAAGCTTTCCAATTGAAGTAAGTTTTTATTTTCATAAAGAATAATAAACTTATTTTTCCAAATGAGATTGATTTTAATTTAAATTACAAAAAATTTTCATTTTTCAAAAAAATTCATTTTTCATAAAATTTTCACTTTTCAAAAATTTTTCATTTTTCAAAAACTTTTCATTTTTCCAAAATATTTTCATTTTTCAAAAAATTTTCCTTTTTTCAAAATATTTTCATTTTTTAAAAAAATTTTCTTTTTTCAAAAAATTTATTTTCTTATAATATTTTCATTTTTTTTAAAAAATTTCATTTTTTGAAAAAAACTTTCTTTTTTTAAAAAAAATTTTCATTTTTAGAAATTTTTTTCATTTTTTGAAAAAAAAAATTTCATTTTTCAAAAATTTTTCATTTTGTCGTAAAATGTTCATTTTTCCGAAAATTTTCAGTTTTCACAAAATCTTTCAAAAAATTCTTTGCCAAAAATTCTTTATTCCAAGATGGATTAATAAATGATTTTTGTTAAAAAAATGAAAAAACTTGATCAATGAAAATGTGAACTAAATATCCCATTTCAAAAATGAAAAAATTTTCATTTAAAATTTTCACTTTTCAAAATATTGAAAAATATTTATTTTAAGATAAACAAAAATTTTTACGTATTTTTCAAAAAAATTGAACATTTTACGATTTGAAAAAAGATGTGAATTGCCTTCTTAAAATGTTCAAAAAATATTTGTTTCTTAAGAAAATATTAAAGGTATTTTCATTGGTTAAAAGTAATTTGTAGAAAAACTGAACTACAAGATACATCTAAAAGAAAAATGAATAATTTGAGTCACAGCGTTTTCTCTACAGCTCTGCATTATTTCCGCAACTTCATATATAATCAATTTCAGATTCACAATGAGACTGCAAATGCATTGGAAGCTCTGCTCAAATCGTGCGTCGTTACACCAAGTAGACATTGTATACTACGACAATCGGTTGCACGCAAATATTATAGATCATTGTCGTGCTGAGAACTCAGCATTCTTCCTCTTCGGATACCAGGTTTTTGGATTCCTTTAACTTTCTTGTCACTGTCACGTCGTAATCGCCAATGTAAAACATTTATCTAGACGATGGTTATGGTTTTTCTGGCCCGTTTTCACGTAAATCGGCGATGAAAAAAGTGCAAATGAGTAATACAATAATACTTGTGTTCAGATTTCTCGGCTCGACTATTCATAGAAATTCATCATTTTCAATGGCGGCAAAATTGCATGAATCGGTAAACTGGGTTTACAATTAACTTCACGAACTATTAACGACAAAATCAGGAACTTAAAAGCACGTCCATTTCACTACTACTCAATCAAACGACAGATGTTTTCAGCTGGCCACAAACTCTTTGTTAATCGGCAATTAAGCTAATGACAACAATTACACAAAACAGCGCAAAAGGACCGAGCACAAGACAGTAGTGAAAAAAGAAAGCAATAGTGCAAAATATTCATTAGCAAAATTGTATCCTTTAAAGGTCATATGCGCGTAAACAGTTGGCTAATTCAACAAAAACGTTTCAGGTGGAATTCCATTGTTTCGTGACTCTTCATTTCTTTTTCCTGAATTTTTACCGCCGTGTCAATTGAACCTCGATCCCGTGCCTTGAACTAAACAAACAAGGTATTTGTACTGTACTAGCCAATCAGGTTCACGACGTATGTCCTTTAACGTAATTCTATTATTGAAGAAACTGATCTTTCTGATCTGCCAGGATTACATAATAAAGATAGTATTATGTAATCAATTTTTCGACTTCTTTATGAAAATAAGAAATAGATATAATTTTAATAGAATTTTTAATTGTATTTAAGAACTTATTTCATTAAAATTGACATTGTTCTAAAGCTCTGTTCACACAATCAATACTGGGGTATCCAGTGTAGAAGGAACCCAGATAAGATATTTTTGTAGTGTCAAGCAAAGATTTAGAAGCTTCTTGGAAAGCTGTAAAAAGTTTGTCATAACATGTGAAACTTATATCTTATCAGAATTAAAAATAGACATGTTTGTATTGTCTCGCATCCCACACCTGCAAGTGCAAAACTGAGTTGCGCATGTCTGAATCCGTGTTCACCCACGTGTCTGAACAATCAAACAGATTGTAGACCTGTTATCTTCAAAATAACAGAGCATTTCATAGTGTCTTGAACAATGGCTTTTCAACAGTTGCTTAGCTGTGGTGCCTTGGAAAATTATTGATATTAATTATATATTGTATAAATGAATAATCAATCATTCGAGGCATGCTACAAGTCAGTAAACAATGGGGAACTTGAATGTTGACATATAATTTTATAATTTGGATATGAAATACCTCTCATTGTCAAAAATGTGTTTAATGTGTTAGAAATTGACTAAGAGGTGGCTCAGACATTCTGTCTCTTTCCCTATCAAATCTCTATGATTTGGTTTCTGTATAATCTATGAACCAGGCAAAACAACAATTCTCCATTCAAAAACCCGTTCCTTACATATGCTACATCTCTGTTACCTCGCAACAGATTTAGCATTTTTTAACTTTAAGAGGTTTTCCGTTCTGCTTTTTCAGCTTTCGCCATTAGGACCAACAAAAAAGAGATTGAGGTTGACTGTTCTTCATCTTTCTAAATTTTCGAGGCTCGATTTTTCTCAAGTCGTTCTAAAATCATTAGGGTCCTGGACGAAAAATTTACAAAATATACAATATTTTACTGCAAAACCGTCAGGTGGATATAGCACAGGTTCTGTTTTTCGTCATCAAATGGATATAGCACAGGTATTGTTAGATATATCATTAATAACAATGTTCTTAGATTTACACTCAATTTTTTCTTAGTTTTTGATGGACCTAGAGGCAAGAGTTCTTATAGAATTCGTCGTTTATTAAAAGAACTCTATGTTCACACAAAGATGGATGCATTTAACCGGTGTATTCAACAACAGGGTATACTAATTTGAGTTTGAAACTACAGCAAAAGCACATCTTCAAGACTCATAGCTTTCATTCTAACCTGAGATCTTTCAAAAATAGAGCAACCCTTCATATGACAGTGTATCCAGCATGTTTCTAGTATCGGATTACGAAAAACAGTTATTCAAAAATAATTTTATCCCATTATAATGATAATTAGGTTTTTATAGTAATCAGAGTTTTATATTGCAGTTAGTTTCTCAGCTTCTTGTAAATATCTTAAAGACAAGATCAGATTCTAACCAACCGGATTTGCAGTGCTAAGGGCGTAAGGAGCTAAGAGGGCTAAGAGGGCTAAGAGGGCTAAGGGGGCTAAGGGGGCTAAGGGGGCTAAGGGGACCGAGCTTCTATATCAATGCTGAGCAGTAGCCAAGTTTTACATTTTCTCCCGTTTTTCTAACCGTTTTCCATTTGCAAGCTAAGCGTGATGCTACATCATAAAAAGGTCTATTATTGTTTATTCAGCCTCAAGGAAACTCTCGTGTGTTTTCATCTGGACCAATTTTAGGATTGGGCCTAATGCTGCAGCACCATAGCACCCACCTTACTCAGGCCCAGATCATCGTTGCCAAGTCTGAACGAATAAACCTTTATTACATCTTCTATATAATAAATACCAATTATCACATGCAGAAATTGTCCTTTGATACCTGAAAGAGCTTTGTCAGAGTGCTTGTTAATAGAGCGGCAATGTAAATCTATTCTGCTTTATTTTTTATTTGGATCATATTTTTCAAAAGAATGACCCTAATTACTGCCAATTTGCAAAATGAGTTACATGTGTTACAAACTGCCTTCGATCGATCTAAATTTGCTATTGTTATTCGTCTTTGTGGAATCACCTTAAAAGGTCAACTTTCATTTTCCATTGGTGGGCAGCTTTCAGTTTCGATTTTGCAGAACTCAGACATCACTATCATTACAAAAACCCAACACATAACCCCCAGCTTCGCGATAACGATTCCTTTTTGTGAGATATCAGAATGCTCTTTTCCACTGCGATGTGGGAGAGGGTTGTGCAGCAAAATAGAAATCCTTAAGCCAAGCACCGTTGGTTGTCCAAAAACATTTTTTAACGGATAGCACGTGACTAATTTCTGGGTACATCTGGGTAATTTAGAAGCTATAGAGTCAAACTGCATAAATACTTTTTCCAAATACAACCCCATCCCTAATGTTTTCTCGTTAGATTTAAACAAAATACAAAATGGATACTACCGGTGTGTAGCGGCCCAATGCTTCCCTCCCCAAGAAACAATAATTTCGATTTCCCATTTCTTCTAAATTGGATGAAAAAGGTTGGATGCTTTGGGGGAGGGTATGATCTTGAAACAACCTTAACATAGTTAAAGATAGAAGCGCGCGTTACCTAATGTTTAAATAGGCGTTTCCTGTTGGTAAAGAGGCGTTTCCCAAAAAAAAATTTTGTCCTCACTGTGAAAAGTTTCACCTCATAGGTAGCCTGCGCGCAGACTCTAGAGAATTATTGGGAAACGGGTGTTACCTAAGGTGTCTTTCAAGCCTTTTGAGGTTAATTCGCAGACTCTACAGCTCTGGTAAGATACTTCAGAGTCTGTGTGTAGGCTATTAATGGCCAAAACCAAATTTCCTACATCAATCATGCATTAACAAGGGGATTTCAATATGATGCCCGAGGAGAATTAAGGCGATTTTACAGTCATTGTAGGTTGGGCAAGTTCTGGCTTTTTCAATAGTAGCTACTTTGAGACCAATAACACCTTAAGCGAAGAAACGAGCCGTTTAATTTCAATGGTTTTAATCGTCTGCTTGAGTTTAGCAATAGTTTTTAAGACTGGGTATCCCCTGAAATTGTTGGCATCTCCTGAAACTGTTGTCATCCCCTGGAATCGTTGGCATCCCCAAGATATCTCCAGTGAAATGTATAAGCATTATTATCTGTTTTGATCTTGGTTTACTGTTACCGGCTTTATGAGCATCAAACATGATTGGCTGCAAAAGGAATCGCTGCAGTGGGATTCCCATCCGATTAAGCCAATCATGTTATATTACGATTCATGACTTTATCAATTTTGCCGATACAACACTGAAATTGAACTAAATGTTACACAATGTTGATATCTTGATAATTTAGAACACTTTATCCCCTTATTGTCATTCGTGGCATTTTGCTTAGGCCAGGCGCACACTAGAAGAGCATTTTGCCAGGGCCCCCGCCATAGGGGGGCAGGAGGGCCATGACCTACCCACTTTTTTGCTAAATAAAAGACTAAAGTCAACTGATATAGTTAAACCTTCAGATCAAATTGAACCAAAAGCCAACAAGTAAGCAAAATGATTGTCACAGTTAGGGCTACAGGGGGGACGAACTTTCTTTTTATAGCTGCACTGACGCGGGACCTGAATGCCACGAATGACAATTCGCCTAAGCAAAATACTTCGTGTGCGGTTTAATAGCTCGTGGAAAAAAGTTCAAAAATCAGACCTAAATGATAAAATTCAATGTTGCTTCTCGTGTGCGGTGAACAAAAGCATTTCGGCTTAGCAAATGGCGCCTGCGCAGAGAGGCATTCGGATTTCATATCAGCAGCCTGTCGCTGTTCAGTTAAAGTGCCACGGATAATTCCCGACCGCTTGAAACTCCTTTTTATTTTATAGTTTTGACACTTGGTGATAATCATCGCCCCCCTCTTTACAAAACAAGTTAACTTAATCATAATACCTAATAAGCTGAAATTAGCATGTTATTAGCCCTGCTTTCTACCACTTTTATACTTTCGTTAGATTCCCTAAGAATGTAAGACATTGCTAGCTAAACTACCCTTCAACACGCTGATAATGTTTAATGTAGAAATCTTTTTCTTTATGTTTCCCACAAAATTTCATTTGATTTGAAATTTCTGATGTATATCTGTTCTTTTTCGTCAAGACTCTCATCTTGAGTTCATGGGTGGACCCCGAGTTGCAAAAATATAATCGTCTATAATCTTTGTCAATAATCAAACTTTGCAAAAGATTCCCATTTGCAATACCTTTCGAATAGAAGTAGCCGTTTGCACTTTCCCCCCTTCAGGCAGCAATGCAGCTAACGTAGATAACCACATTGCTTTGCCGAGGAATAATTCTTCCTAGATAAACTGGGAAGGAATAAAATTTATAGTTAGGAATTCGAAACAGAATGTCACATAGGCAGTAAAGTTTGGTTATAGAATTAGCTCTACGGCTTTCTTCACATGCTTAGATATTGACACGTCTTCATTTCATTTCATTTGTCAATATTTTCATACGATGTACCTTACATTGTAACCTACAAATGTGAATTAAGCGAATGATGATAGATCTAGTTACATGAAATAATCAAATAATCTCTTTGGGAAAAAATAGCTAGCCTTCCAAGGGTTCATCTTTGCGGTTTTCATGTCTCTAGGTGTTTCCCTTTAAACATTTTCGAAAGATAGACAGAGATAATTCCACAATTTTTTTCTGTTGAAGAATTTTTGTGCTGAAAATGAGAATCTTAAGTAAACTTACGGTATTCGCTTCATTTACAAAATACGGGCATTTTTGAACAGGGGTGTGCTAATCGATTTTTTTGTAATTTTTTAGAGTAGGTACGGATGTTAAAAATCTATTTTGTACCATTTTTAGTACCGATTTGAGCCATTTGTGGAAATAAAATTGTAACAGTATCAAGTTATAAATTGAAATTTAGAAACGGAGGCTACATCATATTCTTCTTGGCTTCTAAAATGTTGCTGATAGTACAGAAGAGATAGTACCTGCCCTTCACAAGGAGTCTCTGTCACTGACACTTGGTTCCTCGTCCTTGCTTTCGTCACTGCTCTCATCATTTTCATTTTCCCAGCCAAAATTTGTTCTACTTTTTCTGGGAAAGCAGCATCCATCGAAGCTATTTTCCCGTCCGTTGACGATTAATTTTTCTAGAAATAAGCAAAATCAATGTTTGTTTGTTTGTCTCTAAACCTTTGTGATTTAGTTTGATCCTTGGCAGTGCAACTGTAATGATTGTCGACATAGAGAAAGCAAAGAAAAATCATGAATCTTTCTTTTCTTTGGATTAACGTTTTTTAAGATCTCATAAAAACTGCATCTATATCTTTTGTTGTTTGTCAAAAATATTGCACACATATTCTTCCAACTATTTATCCATACTCCACTGCGCTCCTAGCTGGGAAAAATGTTAACGAACTTGTTATTCTTTTCAACCACTTTCCGAGAGTGGCTCTTACTATGACAAATTTTCTTAGTATTGCCAATGATCAAATGATATTTCTACTTATACCGGGGTTTATTTTCGTGCTTTCATTCAAGTCTGACGTGTCACAAGCGTGAACATTCGGAGATGATTGCTGGAAGCAAGCTCCAAGCCACTCACAAACAGTATAAAAAGCAGTGACCCCAAACATGAGGCCTATGGAACACCACAGTCTTTGCTTGTTTAGCAAGAATATTAACCATTCAGATTGTAGAATTACTCTTTGTTACTTAGATTTGAGGCTAGTCAAATATGATAAACCTCAACATTCTCACAGAGAGTAAGTTTTGACAAAGGATGCCACGGTTTACTGCATCAGTACCATCTTAAGGTCCACGGTACATTGCATGTTTTGAAAGGCAAACTAACTTGTGAACATTATTTCGTGGAATTCACGTAGCTGATCATGCACAAACTTTTCATGTAGTCTTGAAAAGACAGATGTCTTTTTACCTGATTTGAAAATGGTTATCAGCCCTGCAATTCTCCACAACCTTGGAAATTAGCATTTTGCAAAGGGCTGTTTGAAATCAAAGATAGAGGCTGATATTATGTCTGTGGTATCTCATATAGCACTGGCATCTTATCAGGTCCGGCTGGCGTAAAACGGTGCAAGTGCCTAATGAGACTCTCGATAACTATCACCAGCTTCATTTGTACCTAGCAGACGTATCGTGCCTGGTTGGGTCATCATCGGCAGAAGTCCTGATTTTACACGCTAACTCTGTGCCAACACTTTCAAAATGCTCACCAAATGACTCTTCTTTGAGTTTCAATAACTGAACTATTTGACCTTTAAACTGATTTGCTTGTTTTTGAGTTCCGATCTAAGATAAAATTTACTGTTTTCCGCGTGTGCTTTGGATTGTTCGAGTTGCTATTGTACTGGGCAACGCGTTTGTGCTCCTTCGTTAACTTCTTTACGGACGGCGACAACCAAGGTGCCTGTCGACTTTAAACTTGCCTTTTCTTATGTCTGGCATGCAGTGGGGCAAAGGAAGATGTTGCCATGTTGGCAGGAAACCCGTCTGTGATAGCTAATGCATTGTCCTGCCCAATCATGTTTAGATCATAAACAAACTGATCTTTATCTAAGTTCTTGCAAACACGCATTTCTACAATTTATGATTTACTGACCAGACCCTGGGTGCCAGAGCCTCAGTGAAAGAGTGTGTGGACGTCAGACCACTGTTCGACCATCTCTTTCACCGAGACTCTGGTATCCAAAGTATCCTGACCAGATCTTTTGCACCAAGCTTCCTAATCTCACATAAGGTCGTGGTTCATCAGGCCCAAAATCACGATATGAGCCCTGTGGTTGTGCTGTGGACTGTTTGTGGTAAAATAACCGATCAGGCTCTTTGTTATTAAAGTTTTTCCTTCTCTAGCTTTGTTCATGCTTCTCTTGTTTTTCCTTTTAACTGGAGCATACAGTATCGTTTTACCCTTTGAAAGAAGTTTTTTTGTAAATCCTGTTCCTTTTAATTGCCTTCGCATTCAGTTCGTGTCTGTCTAATGTTGGCAGCATCGCGCTTCAACATGCCTTTTATGCAGCCTAAACTTTATCGATTCGTTTGGGGAAAGAAGAAAAACTGTCGCAACTACCGATTATTCTCCATTATTATTCCACTTCTCTTGATATAAATCCTAAATCTTCACTCGACTCAATGTCTTGCTACAGCCCCTCCAAGCCCCTAGACAGCCCCTCCAAGCCCCTAGACCCCACACTGCTACCAAATGTACAGTGTATGGTAGTTTCAACAGGTCTTGAGATGAGATAAGATTTATATCTAGAGAAAAAGAACCAGAGTCGTCAAGCTCCTCTTGGGCAACAAGCAATTGGTTATAGATCCTACCCCACATACAGGCGTGTATCTGACATTGCATGGAGTATGGCACCCCCAGTTTTTTAGGACCTGGCCGACAGAAGTAGAATTGGTCGGTTGAACACCCTGACGTTAAATAGAATTGAAATAACACTGTAGAAAAATATGACAGTACATGAACCTACCTTGTCTGGGTGGTGTTTGTGATTCTAAGACCCCGTTTACACTACAGAAAAAAGAACGGAACTCTTTGGTTCCGTGCTTGAAAAAGCGACGATAGGCCTTGCGTTTATACTAAGCATCTTGGTTCCGTGCTAGTTTGGGAACGGTCCCGTTCTTGGTGGAAACACAAACCTACCTTGTGTGGTCGGCGATGGTTTGTTTTTGTGATTCTAATCTAATTTTTATTATCTAATTTGTGATAATTAATCTAATTTCTAGTTTATCTAATTAAACACTTTGCAGGGATGTGTTCCTTACACAATATGTTTACGTGCATTTTGTATAACAGCTTCTACTCATTTACCTACTATGGCAATCGATGCACTCTCACAAGCCACTCGGACTTTGATTTGCTTAAACTGCAGGTTTCGCCAATATCGTCCATTCTCTTTGTGGCATTGCATCCCAAGAAAGTAACATAAAAGGAATTTCATTGAAGTATAAATAGCTTTGAAAAATCCAAACATTGATGTATCATTGATCCACTCTCAAGTTCGGAATACGCTAGTATTTATCTTCAAAATTCATTTTACGTTATTTTTACATGGTATGTCTCCCCCCATCTTTGTTAGGCTTTGAGGAATTTTCTATCCACCCATCTATCCCGGACGCCTTGATAGAAACTTCGAAATTCCAACGTTCAGGAGACCTGTGTCTTTCCAAGCCTCGGTTTCCTTACCACCTGATACAACACATGCCATCTTCACGATATCATAATCAGCATCATAATCTAACGAGAGGACTTTGCTAATCCCAGTTCTTTTATCTTTCTCCTAGCATGTTTGCCAGCAATATTACATTCCTTACTGACAGGGTCATGTGTTGTTTCAGAGTGACTTATATTCTAGATTCTCTTCCCAAAACCGCCAACAGAGAGGGTGGCCAAAGCTAGAGCCATGGGGCTACGGCCCATTCTAGGGCCTGTAGTCATGAAATCTATATCAATTCTCATAATCTGCCAACTATATTCCTTGTCCAGCAAGGGGCCTACGCGCATTGGTTACCTTGGGGCTCTGCCTCGCTCTCGGTGGCCCTGTCTGTTAATCTTTGACGATACCATCAATAGTGCTTGAACAAATACATGTTCTTCAATACCCATAGCTCCTACCTCGTATCCTTTCTTGACCTGAAAGCATTCATTGAGGTGAGAAACCGTCCTTGCATCTATAGTAAGACTGTACTCGTGGTCTATTCGTTGACATTCGACGGGAATGGTGTGCCTGGACGCGTAGCATCAGCATCAAGTTCCATTGATATTATTTCTGCAAGAATTTGCCAACTTATTTTGTTTGCTTGTTCGCTAGAACAGTGAATAGCTCGTGCGAACAGCGCAAGTAAAGGCTTGTTCTTCAATCTTCAGCAATATCTCCTGTAGAAGGGAATCTTCATGATAGTTGCAACTGCGTGTGGATGACCTTCCCTTTGGACTCATACGTCAACTGCCATCCGATTTAACCTTTGCCTCATATGTAGAGGATGTTTTTGAAATGTGAAAACAACTTATTACTGTGGTATTGTTTCAACATTACATTTTCACAAGTACATTATATCCATTTCATCGTTTGTCTCTGTACTCTGTCTGATATAACTCATGTTCGTTTACCTGCGGAAAATAATTGAAATATGAAGATGGCACAAAATAGCGGAAACATTGAAAGCTGAAAGAATGCTAATTTTCTGCCATTTCGTATCTCTTTCGAATCTTGCGGTACGAAGGAAAATACTGTCGAATTACCTCCTATCATTTATCTCATTTAGAACGTTGATTTATGTAGATTGGGCCAGCAGAGAACTTTCTCGCTCAATTAAAAGAGTTTATATAGATATTGAGCTTTATATTACGGTTAGTGTAGAGTGAGATTCGCGTTACCATTCATGAATAGAAAGCTCAAACAAGAGCCACGGCTTTTTAGTGTCGCTCGAAAATTTTTCAGGTGCAAGGCATTTCACGAACAAGACAAACTCTTTCATGTAAATAAATTTTTTTGTAAATAAATGCTAAGAATATTAATTTCCTAAACTAATATTTTAAAAATTCGGGATTCAATATATGCAAAGCTTTGAACACTTCAAGAGCTAAAAATTTGATGCGTACTGTAGTAGACCTAGACCTCATGTGTACTCATATGCAAGATGTGTACTATCTTTTTTACAAACTGCAAAGATGAACATTTGATGTGTTAAGTGTCATGTACTTTGGAATCAATTGTCTGTTATTGGGTACTGTTGGAACTGTTTGACCTGGCCGCCTTCTTCAACAGTATTACGTTTGCGCAAGCGCAGTAAGGGAAAGCCACATTTTGATTTTTTCTAGTCAACCGAAGCTGCATTAATGAAAACCATACATCAAGAGAAAATTAAACTTTTTCGCCTTACGTTTTATCTATTGTGTTATCCAGCTACGCCTTGCTCCTTTTTAATGCCCTTCTTTCCAGATATTCACAATCTCTTGAAGCTTACACTCTTTTTTTTATACGAACCAGAAAATGTTTGCCAAGCCTCGATGTTCTTAACTTTTTATAATTTTAGCCTCAAATGTTCTTAAAATTGTTCTTATTTTAAGAGTGTTTTTTTTGCAAATATTTGAGAAGTTACATACTGTATATAGTTTCTAAGACGTTTTACTGGGTAAAGTTTAAAAATAAAGCAACGACTGCTAGTGTTTATGAACAAGCTCATCAAAGTTTTTTTGTCAAGAAAATGTCGGTACAATAGTTTAGTGCTTGTGAAAATTTCCGTTAAGGAAATTTTTAAATTTCTGATCTGAAGCTGAGCATGTTCTAGCTCTGTTCTTATTTTTTGGGCAAATAGAGCCTCACTGTTCTGATAAAGTGTGTTCTTATAAGAAAGAGTGTTTGTTCCTAAACGCGTACGAATGATCTATTGCTCTGTCTAACTGGTTTCTTGTTTCTTATAAGAACTTTCTATTCTCCCTCCCTTTCTGGAATCGCCGTGGTTATTGTCCCTGCAACGGATCTTATTACATTGCGGCTATTCATACGGCAGGCAAAAATTTGCGCACGGAAACACATAGAAGGCCTTGGAATAAGGGCAAAACATCAACTGTTTGAATAACTCAAGCTTGGTTTTATATTGAATACTCCACGAAACTCCAATCAAAGAAACAATCTAACATAAAACTGTGATCTAGCATTTACGTTGTTCGGAATAATTATAATGTAGCCCGTTTGCGAGAATTTTCCAGATTTCCAAATTTCGTGCGCAAATAGTTAATGCGCAAGCATGCCGGACGAACAGCTGAAATGTAATAAGTTCCGGTGCCGGAACAATAACCACGGTGTTCTGGAATACTTAAGACTCACGTGATATGCGTAAGATTTGCTTGGCGAATCGAAAACCTCTCTTCCCCAATTCAAGATTTTGGCGCATAATTTAGATATGCACAATCACATATACCTCCACGATTCCCACCACCATGAAGCAATTTCGCATAATGTTTTTAAAATTTTAGCTCAAACGTTGGTATTTTTGACAACCATGTTCGATTCGATCGATTCGAAAAAGCTGAAAAAAGTTTGAAGTGGTTGGACGTTGTTGGCGGTCCTTAGCGGTCCTTAGCGGTTGTTGGTTGTTGTTGGCAATCCTTGGCGGTCGTTTGCTTGTTTGACACGCCATTCCTACTTTTGACTTTACGCATGCACAGTGAAATGTCGTTTCGTCATAAAATCGTCTCTCGTTGACTTCGATTAACACAAAATTAGATGTCTTTTGATTCAGGATATTGTTCCTACTTATTACTGGTTTTGTTGTGATGCCTTTTTGATGATCTTAAATTTCTGAAATAGATATTTGTATTTATATACATATCTTTGAAAGAAACGCATCTTCAACACTTTGCTCTTCGACAATATGGTTTAAATACCCCTTCTCTTCGCACTTTTCAATTCATTGCTAGACTGATCTTGAAGTGGGTTTTGTCTTCATCTATAAGCTAATTGTCGAGAACAGCTCAGATTACGAGGTGCTGGGTAAGATATTGGGTCAGATGCTGGGTCTGATTCCAGAACAATTTACAAAACTTCATGTACTCGAAGCAATAAAGTCAAGAAAAATCTGATTTTTAAAGAGAAACAAACGCCTGAAGTTTCGTGGTTCACAGAAAGCTTAATGTGTTGATTCCGGATTTGAATGACTCCCTTTATATAAAATAAGGAAGGGGTTGACAAGGGTATTGATGTAATGACCCCATATCGATACTGAGCATAACTTGTGGTTACGACCAGTTCAGTTCACTCTATCGCGAGAAGTGTAGATTAAAATGCCTTTTCTTCTTTGAGTTTCCTAGAAAAAGTGTAGCACCAATAGAGATCAGTGATTAGAACGTTTTTGGACTTTCTTGTTGTTGTTGTTGCTGTTGTTGTTGTTGAAAAGTGTCCCTTCCATGTGACCACCTCTCTGCAATTTTCCATAATGATCCTTGCTATGCATCTCAACTTTGCTTTTGTGAATTTGTGCTTTTTATGTCTAGAGAGATAACCAGAAACTGACACAAACATTCAAGTCTACAGCTGTTTTGACTGGACAATATTTTTTTCCATTTAAAACAGTTGACTTTTTAAAGTACCGCTTCAATAAAATTCTATGTAAAATAGTTGAATTACTTGTAAAATACTAAGCACTCAGGTGCGTTTTATCGCTCTTCGTTTACATACTAAAGAAGCGGTTGTGCTCTTGGTCTAAAGTATAAAAGAGAAGCCTCCAATCCTAGCAGCGCTAGTCGTAAACGTTTCAACTTTGAGAGTTTCTTCAATCGATGCAAACTCTCTTTTCAAAAGCGAATAGTTCTTATCATGTAAAATATGACGTAGTAATTTCAGACACACCCTCCCACTTGATTCGCTTTGGTCGCGCGACTGAGCGAATGCACATTTGAGCATGCGCAAATCGAACTTCCTCATTTGCTGCGAATGCACGACCATTCGCTGCGTAGTTCAACTCAGTTGAACCACAGAAAAGGGAAACTTTTCCCCTATTCTGTGGTTGAACTACTGAGCGACTGGTCGCATTCGCCGCTGGATTTTTTATTCGCTTTCGCCAATCATGACGTAACCTAAGTTGAGACCCTTACGTAATATGACGTAACCTAAGTTGAGACCCTTACGTAATATGACGTAACCTAAGTTGAGATCTTCAGATGTTTGATTCAAGGCCAGGGGCCTTATCTCCTTACAAAGGGGCGTTATAGAATGGGACTCCAAAGGTAGGGTGTTTCCCTATCCTAGCACCGTCCAATCGAAAATTTTAAATTTGCCTGAGCATGTCTTTTGTGGGAACCTCCCCACGCTTCGACAAAACTCAAGTCGCTACGTCCCTGGACGTTCTTATTTCCTTGAACACTGACTTGGCAGTGCTGAATATATCATTTGTTTTTTATGCCAAACAACCTTTTTTATGTTCAGAATTAACATTTGATGGAAATTAGACTTCATTTTTATGGAAACACTTGACTTCAGCGGCTACACGTGCTTTCCTTTCTGAAAACATGTGGCTGAATTTACTTGCTGTACAGTTTCATTCGTTTTTACTAATAAACCAAAGTTTAAGAATTCTGTTCTTAAATACAGAATACAATTCTGTTGATGTTTGAGCCCAAAGTTGATCGTTTACCTGCTCTCAATATCCCAAACCAGTCGTTGAGTTGCAGTGTTGTTGCCATCTAAGTCACCACTTTTTAATTCTATTCATATGAATTATTTCTATAAGAGTATGACAGGGAATTAACATAAAAACATTCTGTTATCGAAAAAAATCAGAGCAACTACTAGGACAAAAACATCCTGCACCTGCGACGACGCCTGCGAACGAATTTCAACGCCCCTGTCAGCATGTTTATATCAAGTCTCGTTTTGATGTGTAGAACTACAAACTTAGGTTGCATAACGTAACATACCAAAGGGGATGCCCTCCACTCTAGCTTCACCTTAGACACTTTACAACGACGATAACTTCATAACTATGCCGAATTTCTGTTTATTTCTACATCACAGAGTATACTTGAAGTCTCATATCTGTTTGTGCTTTGCCTGTAAAATGCGAATCGAGGAAAGAAGAAGAGAAATTGGATGGGTGTTTAACATGACGTAATCCATCCTCGTGAAGCAGGCTCGTGCACGCTCAATAGCCTGAGCACAACACCGGTGAGATTCCCGTTTGCTCCCTCTATGCTTCTGCATTTGTTTCTGAGCAAGTTGGGTTCCGTTAATATTATGTTATGTTATATGAACAGACAGGCCACTGTCTAGCGACTCGTGATTTTTTAGGCTTTTATCCCTTGCACAATTCGACTCTATAATAAAGTAACTCAAACACAAATCAATGGTAAAAGTTAGTCACCTGCCGTTGATGGCGTATCTGGCGAAGTCTGGCAGCCATTTTCTTTGAATTCCGACCACTCTCTGTGACGAGACTAGTCATCGAGAAGTTCACTCTGCCCACGAGAACGTTAAGGAGTTTGTTTCGATGTTTGAGCCGCTTTCATGGTTTAAAGATTTGGTCCGTTAATAATTAGCTATTTTTATTTGGCAAATTAACAAGGCAAATACTGAGTATAGACGTTACTGTATAATAACATTGTCTCAAACTTTCACACTCCCGCTTATCCATTCGGATTTCAAAGTTCGGTAGAAGGGGAGAAGTTAGTAATTTATTGAAATACATCAAATTCATGCTTCTTACAGCATAACAGCCGTTAATACATACGCTGCTATACCTTGAAATACGTAGTTGAACTAGAAAAAAACATATATGGTAAAAAACTTGAAAGCTGGTGAACACTTGAAAAATTCAAGGCCAGATATTGAGTCATTTCCTCAATTTGAGTGCCTATAGACTAAATGAAGTAGCTTGAAATTCAAGAAACAAAAATGTAAAGAGAGCTATCATAATAGATGTAAATCAATGTAAAACTTATTGTTTAAGAAAATCAAGTTATGTACAACAAATCTTGAATCCTTTTCCATAAGAGTAAATATGAATAAATCGAATGAAAGAAAAGATAAATCTAGCTGATATATTTGGACTAGTTATAGAGTATTCAGTTATAGGGGAAATAATCTATCAACTCATTGTCAAAGTTTGTTGTGATCGGAAGAAAAATTATTTTCTACCTAACAATTTTACCCTCAGCACAATCGTCGGTATGATAATGAAATGAGAACCAGTGGAAATTCACTGCCATTTAGCCTTGAGAATTGCTAAAAGCTGCTTAAATTGCTCTTACTATTAAAAAAATATTGTCTTACCAAGGGACAAGTCTTTGTTTTTTATGTTCTTTTGATTAGATTATTCAGATATAGATGAAATAATCCATTTTTTAACTTTCAACTGTCCCACCAGGCATCTTTTAAGATACTGAATGGTAATTGCTCCATTGGCCCCATACCCAACTTGCTGCCCACTTCTGAAAATTAAAACTATTTCAAACCCACCTCTGGTGCCCTATTTTGGTCCAACATCTATTGTTTTTCTTAAAGTCAGGGCTCTAAATAGGTTTCATCTATCATGTTGAAAATATTTAAAATATGTTCCACCCTAAATACATTTCAGACTGCCATAAGCATGAAAAGTTTCAGTCAAGTTCAAAGCATGAAATGAGTGATTTAGACAAATTTGAAGCCATCAGTATTTAAGATTTTGTGTGTTGGTTCAAACAGACCATGATAATATTCAATTTGTGACAAAATTAGTTTGATATATATATCAATAAATCCGACTGCACATTGTATTGGATGCTATTCTCTACCTCACATTTTCATTATCAAGAAGAAGGCTATCATGTTTCACAGACCAGCAAATTTTTTAGCCTGAAGTTCATTACCTGCTTAGCAGATAAGTTCATTTTGTATGGATGTAGTTTGACAACGGATGTAAGTTAACAAAACTATCAATAAGGTAATTTTTCTCAAGTAAAGTGTTCAAGACTTAGCTGGGAATCTTTTCATAGTTTGGGAATGTATGCTGTTACTTTGCTTTGTTGGATTCATTATTGAATCATGTCAAACTGTAGAAAATGATTCACATATTCCCCCTTGTTTTCTCTGAATTAGTTTGAATTAAATTGGCACCTCTAAATTTCTTCTTTTTTTGAGTGGAGTTTTAGTTGCACTTCAAGTTGTAAAAAACCTTTTTTGACCTTTGTTTTTATGGATTAAAGCGCAAGTCACGTGAGTCACATCTGCATATGCAAAACAGTAGCAGACTGTCCCACTAAGTAGCAGTAGCAGGCCATTCAGTAGCCATAGGGCACCAGCGACAGGAAACTGGCAGGTCATGGCCTCTCGCTTTTTTCTCAAGAATGAGTTTTCCAGGGTTTATTTTAACTTGCAGTAATAACCAATTTGTGCCGTAATAAATCGTTATTGTGCAGTGATAAACTCAAATTTTGTGCAGCGATAAAACTAAAATAAAGAGATTTGGCATTGAAAAAGCAAAATTGAAGCAACTTCCAGTAGACACATAAAGCTAATAAAAAAGCATTTCAATTTTTATTTCAAGACATTTTTGTTTCTGTTTTTTTAAGATGGTTTGGGTCCGCGGTACCATAGGGAAAAACTGTAAATTTCAAAAAAACTGCGAAATGAAGATTGAAGAAAAATGAAAATATTATATTTTTAGTTTGTAAAATCGTTTATTACTCTTCGTGATAATGCTGTTTGTAGCTAAACCAAAACTGGCGATCCATACATGACTGCCACCTGCCGTACGCTCGCTTGTTCCCAGCACAACGTGTAAACTAAACCTGTTTTCGTTGTTTGCATTATAAAGTTTGTCTGCATTTTCGTCATCTGGCTCGCTGTTTGTTGAATAAAAACAATAACTTTCTTGATGAATCATTTTTCTTGCTTTTATTTGTTTTCTTATTTTTGGCTTAAATCTTTTGATGATTTCGCAGAAGGATTTTATTCATTATCGCAATGTTTAAGTCCCTTCTCCTAGCAGGGACCTGAATAAGCTTCCTGTCTCTATCAAACCCCCGCAAGTCCCCTATCTAAAAGACGGTCAAAGACTGTCAAAATTTAATGAAAATCAATATTATTCTCTTTTTACTACTAATTAAGCATTTGAACTTCACAATTTTGCTACTTTCAAGAGCTATTCATGAGCACAGAAATATGAAAAAACCGGTAAGAATACGAGAGCCCATTGACCTTCTGCTCTACAAGCCTTTGGTCTAGTGAGCCCTCCTCTCTATTAAAACCCCCACTGAAACCCTATAAAACAAAAAAGGTCCCAAGGGATCTATAGAGCTTAAAGGCAATCTGTCTCGTTGTGGATTGGTTAACGAGAACAATAGCTGGAACAATAGCCTAAACACGATTCCAGCACTCCGCCATATTTTTTACAATGCGATAAATTAAATGGGGACTTGAAACAAGAAATAAACCCTTTCTTCTTATAATAAATCAACGTCGTGACAGATTGCCTTTGAACGGTTCACATATTTTCTCCACAGTGCTTGAATTGGCTATAATGTAAATGTCCATTAACAGTGCCTGTAATTGGCTATGATGTTCCTGCGAGAATGGGAACTTAACGGTCCTCTGTTTGCTTCCCGACGGTTGAGAACAAATTGTTTAGCCCCCCCCCCCCCTGGCTATGGATTATATTGATGGGCTCTCTTAAAGCATATTAAGGCTTGATCGGTGAATATTTTGTGGCACTGGAATATTCATGAATATTCGATGTCCGCAACGCCTTGAAGACACTCGAAGTCAAATGGCAGACCGCATCTCCATACAACTGCGACTGCAACGCCAAAACACAGTTCAGCCACAAAATAGGAATTCCTATCCTGTGGTTCATACTGACAAACAGAACAGTCAAGTTTAGTTTGCTAGTTGCATAAGATACTTATCCTGTAGCTCGTATTAAAGGACAGGTCTGTTTCCGAGCTCTAGGTTTATCCAATATAAGCCTTGGTTGCTTATTTATTGGTTCCTTTATTAACAAATGTCTACAGTCTAATACAATTGTGCTGTCAACAATCCTTTCATATAATATGTGAATTAACCTTGAGTACAATAATCTGGAAATAATATTTGTCTTTTCAAAATTAAATCCAGGTTTGATACATGTGAATCCAAATTGATGAAAATGCTGACGAAATTTTGTATTTTTTTCTCCTACTATGACGCGACAGCTCTTCTGTGATTTTATGTTGATAATATTGTCTCTATTTTGATATATAATTTAGCTGATTTTTAATACCTAGTACCAGATGGAAGTTAACCATGAAGCATAATCTTTGCATGATACGGTCTCTTCCATGAGATGTTGAAGCCCTTAAGAATACGGAGGCCAAGTCCCAAATCTTCCCTTCGTATTGAAAATACTTTCACTTGAAACAAGTCAAAGTGTTTTCAGCATTTCTTTATAAAATTGCCAATTTAATATCCCTCTTTTATTCGTAAAAGCCTCGTAAAAGTCTCAGCACATAGAAAGTGAAAAATTTGGATAAACGATCACCTATCTAATAGACCGTTTTACTAAATCTCTCTTTGCATGGCTTTTCCTGTCACATTTCTTTAAACTTCCATGAACCATCTAACAAGTAGCCTTATTGGGTCTGCGGCGCAGGCTATCTAACAAGTTGATGGATCATGCCGACATAAACCTGTATCGAACCTCTCACTTTTTGCAGTCATGTAACTCTCGCTTTATAAAGGTGACATAATATGAATTTACAAGGAAACATAGTATCCCATAGAGAAATTGAGTCGTGTTTATACGACAGGACAGAAACAGGACAGAAATCATTAAACCAATATTCTTAATTATTGTCAAAAAATGTTAGATTTTGGCATGTTTTGTTTCAATTTGTATCTCATGTCTTATGGATTAAGAGTAAATGGCTGTTTTTTTCTGACGGTCTGGAAAGAGTTATAGTTCAAGGTTGACTGGTCCTGTCGGATGGACTGTGTCCGATTGAATGTGTCGGGTAGAATGTGTCGGCTAGACTGTATCGCGTTGACTGTGTTGGGTGGTTATTTAGAATACTTTGAAGATCTTTAATGCTAATTGAATTAAGATATCGAGCATTTATCGTGGCGAAAATTAGTGTTTTCATAATTTCAACCCGAATATGATGCAGATTTTTTTCGCAAGTATGAATTAACGCGAATCTTTGAAAATAGAGCCTTGACATCTGTCCTAATTAATGTGCAAAGGAGAGCGGGAACGACAAAATGAAGAAGACATCATAAACATAACATAAGCATCAAACATGCTATATGAACGGAATATGATAAAATGTAGCACGTAAATGCAGTCCTCACGCGGGTATAAATTGCTCTGTTCTCTCTACGCATTTTGCGTTGTCGATAAAGCCGTATGGCAGCTGTTTTTTAAGTAAAAAAGGCCCTCAGTCAACTTTTATCACTTGAGTTACCGATCTTTGAAACATCAAGAGCCTTGAAAATCGGTTTTTGGCAAGGTGCTGCAGAGACACAAACAAGAAACAAAATGACAAAGAAAAAGTCACTAATTGAGCTTAAAACAATGGTGTGAGCAACCTTTTCGGCAACAATGCCCCCAAGAGAGAAAAATCTGATTTTAGGTCAAATGGATGTATCCATGGATTGGGCATACCATATGGTTTCACATCTGTTTCGTGTAATCTGAACTTTGCTCAGTTCGCAAACCAAATCAAAGCGGATGCCCACTTCCAATGAAACGAAAGTTAATAGTTTTCATCAAATTCTAAATTTTTAATTTAGCTGTAAGATTAAAAATGATAGATTTAACAGCAGTTGCTTGTCAGATGGAAATGTAAATTTTGTATAAAAGAGAAGCAACCGATATACCTTTTAACTCATCATACGATATGTTGGACATCAGAGCAGCTTTTCTAATGTTCTACCGGATTAAATGGTAAAATTTTGTTTTAGAGACGTTTCGTATTCAACTTTGTTTAGCCACTCTAATATTTTTTCTATTCGATTGCTTTAATTATATTTTGCTTTAATCTTATCATTGAGAGCGGAAGATTGAAGGCACATATTTCAGGCTTGCTTCTATTGATTTCTAGAATGACGGGCTCAAATTTTTGTTGAGTTTTTTTTTGTATTCACACGACTTGATACTGCACTACATGTTAAGACAAATTTTTGGGTCGTGCTTGAGCCACTGCCTAGCCCTACGGATGTTGCTACAAATTCTTAGAAAATTATATCAATATTATTCAACAACGTTTCAAGCGCTTAGACGAACTTCGCATTAGGACCGCAAACGACAGGCTTCTCTTGAAGAAAACAACAGCCTGTCAAAGTACTTTCAGATATTTCCTGTTATTTGTAGATGGTCACTTATCAAATTTTTAGCATTTCATGGTCCAAATTTTAATGAAGAATTATTCACATTTTAATGATAAATTATTCTCCTTTTTCAGTCACCATTATCAGAGTATGGAAGTTTGCAGGAGCCGTAAAAGGTACGAGCAATTGTATCATTTTCCATTGATCTTATCATGATTATTTTACGGTGTCTCTTTAATCCAGATGACAATTTTAGTTGTTTAAATAGCGTTGTATTCTAACTCATTTCGTTGCAAAAAATTAATTCAAACAATAATGAGCCTGTCTTCCGATGATGTGTTGTCTAAATATGTTCCCTTGGCGCTTTTTCTCAAATTTTCTCTCTCTCTCTATCGCAGGGAAGGAAGTGCTTGCAACTATGCCTATAAGAAACGAGTTAAAAGTCCAAGCGATGATCAAGATTCCGAACCTTACAGCGCTGGCAGTACAAATTTTTCGTCACCACTCGATTCTGGATTTCCAGAAAATGGCGCAATCAGTAGTTTAAGTGGAGGTAAATGAACTATTCTTTTTTATAAAGTTTAATGCTCTTTTAATTGTCTGTAATTCTCCCCTTGCTTTTACTCTTTTAGGTGAAATGGTTCCGAAAGTGGAATGATTTTACCTCCAAGGTTTATTCTCTGGCTTCCCGAGGAGTTTGGATATATTCGTTATGCAGAAAACAGAGATTCTCGCTCGGTGGTTTCAATAACTGCTAGTAATTAAAGTAGCAGGCAGCACCTGGTATCTTGCTCTCGTATCTGTTTCCGTATTTTGCGATATCTCAACACAGACGAGAGTTTGATAGAGACAGTGTAGGTTTATAAGAAACAGATAAGGGTAAAGATTGCAAGAGAATGGTACTTTATATCAACAAAGAATGCTTATATATTGTATTGCCTGACTATATCTTTTGACAATGAGAATTTCAAACGAAAGTTAATATTCACAACATCGTGATTATTGACATTCAGCAGTTATCTATTGCTGATATTGGTAGTTAAGGTTTTACAATCAGGATGAATGTTATTTTTGTGGCTCGTCGTATTGTTCGTACAGTGAATGCATGCTGCAGGTTACCACCGATCTTTGAGAATCCGCCCTCTATTCATCAGTTGAAGCCCTTTTAAGGATATTTGTTTAGACAGAACACTCTCACAAATTTAATTCTCTTCTTATAAAAAGTTTCTTGAAATTGCCCTGCGAAAAGGGAATATACTTGCTTGACGGTGATTATCACATCTTCTATCTATAAACATAGACAAAACGGCATGAGAAGACTTTGAACTTTCCATGTAACTACGTCATCTGCCTTGTACAAAACCAACTGGACTAGTATTTATGCTTTCAGAGACATTTTTGACATACCCTACCTGACGTAATGTTAGTTTCCCCTACATTCACCCGCACATATTGCCTGCTCTTCCATTGTGTTATGACTCACTCCTTCATTACAGACGATGCCCCAGCAAGGCGCTCAGAAAGCTGTGCGCAAGAAGAAACTGCGCTGCCAAGTAGGGTTAGGATTTTAGAAGAGAAGGTTGATTGGATTGGACGTGAGTTACAGCTCATAAGGGAAATGCTGCAATTCATTACCAAAGTAATGCCGGCGGCATCATCAAGACAAGTTGTCTTGCCTGCTAGTGACAGCAGGTCGAAAACAGTCGTCCGAGGCAGCAAACGTGTCTCAACAAACAACAAAACAGAAAAGCCTCGCCGACATTCACTACACACGAAAGGGTTTATTGATGCTCAGTATTCGCTACACTACGATCCCACAAAGACATCAAATCATCTAAATATATACCCATCTACTGGGTCATCAGATGAGAAGAACTCAACCCTTGGTGAAAGTGAAAACAGAGAAACAAACTCAGACAGCGTCAGCAAGTCTTGCTCCGACGATTATGACTCAGATACCTACGCAGATAGAGAGAACATCAACGGCAGTGGAAGCGGCGAAGGTGGTACAGATTCCAACCAAGCCTCAAGAGAAGAGTCACCCAACAACGAATTTACTGCCGATGCATCAAATATCAAGTTCCATGGACACTACGTCATTTCTGGACTTGATGTCATTTACCTCTGGGAGCATGGCACTGATGAGATGCTGCCTATCAGGCTCTGGAATGAGTCACAACTCGAATCTGGAGGGGAAGTCATCAAAAAGTGGCAACAGGTTATAAATATATTCAAAGTTGCGTGCAATGGAAGTCTCAAAACGTTTGTTAACAAATATACAAATCGGGATGGGAAGTTAATGAGCGTTTCAGAAATACTAGCCTCCAACCAGGAAGAGACGATGATAAATAATATTGGCGTTCCAGCCAATCACCTTTCAGATGGAAGCTCTATAAGCTCAAGCAGTCTTAACGATTTGAAGATGGGAGCTGCCCACGAAGCAGCAGCCAGTGTCCCAGCTATACCAAGCCAACTTGAACAGAAACCAATGCCTGTTTACATTTTACCGCGAAAGATCAACGGTCAAAAGGTTTCAGCCAAAGATGTGATTCGTATCTGGGAAGAGGGATTTGGGAACATACCGCCTGTCAAAATATGGACTCCAAATCAGAAACTGAAGCAGCAAAGCAAGATATCTCGCTGGAAGAAAATTGTTGATATTTTCAAAACCGAATGTAATTCCAACATGGCTTTGTTTCAAAAACGATATACAAATGACTGCGGCGTGCTAATGCCAATCGCTACCATTATCAGCAAGTATGAACAGTTGCAGTCAAGTAACGATCCCATGAAGCAGTCCATCATCGCCAATGTGACAGCACCAGTCATTAACATCAAATCAGATGCTACAGGTGCTATCAAGACACAGGTGACCGACACTTTGGCAAGAAACGGTACAACATCAGCATACGATTACTGGCGGTCCTATAAACGACTTGATGAGCTTGGGAGAGAGTGGGACTTTAAAGAGGCCCAAAGCTGCAACGAGAGGAGAGCCTTCACTATCAGACAGGTCGAAGACTGGCAGCGTAATAACATACAGTCGACTGAAGATGAAAGCAGGTCTGAACGCATACAGAGTCGATTCCTCTCCGTACCACGTTGCTTTACTGATCAAAGAAAAAGCACCATCGCTAGAGCAGTACCACCAAGGCATGTCACAAGCATATCCAATTTGAATCAGATAGGGTTTCAAACTGTTGTTGTCAACAGCATCGGAAAGATGGAGCCTCAGGTATTGATCGATGAAAAAAATGTTCCACCTATCAACCCAATGCAAAAATTTAAGCCTGTTGAAAATGGAAGCGTTGTTGAAGCAAGCAGTGGCTCATCACCTCCCTGCCTTACCCCAGTAAACCAGGCTGTCGAGAAAGGGAGAGATCCATCTCCATCTTCAAGTGAGAGTGGAGAAAACAGCGACACATACAGTGGTAAAGACATTGATGTAACAGGAAGCGAAACATCTGAAACCTCAGCTCGATCGAAAAGCTACAGTCCAGTTCAAACCAAATCTTCCAAATTCGTAGAGTCAAAAGAACATGTCTACACAACAGCGTCGAATTCGCTACAACAAAACACACTAACAAATGTATCCACCTCAATGACGAAATTTGATGAGCAGACCCCTGCAACAGGAAACAGACAGCCGGATGAAAAGTACACAGTCTTGCCGGACTCGGATGATCCATTTGAAGTTTTGAACTTATGGGAGCATGGTACCGAAAAATGCCCGCCAATCAGGTTTCTAACAATGAATGATGACGTAATCATGCACCCTCGCTTAGTAGCCTGGAGAAAGTTTATTGATATTTTCCGATTCCACTGCAATTCAGATAAACAAGTGTTGATCGAGAAGTATTCTGATGACAAGAGAAGGCTGTTGAAAGTATCTGAGATTCTGCAAAGGTTTGAGTCCACTTTCACACATCGTCCGTACGAAACAACCACATGCACAATGAAAAGCCCTGGACCGCCAGCTTCAACACCCGTATCTACAGTATACCAAAACAACCATTTCCCAACACAGCTGGATGTGAAAAAGCCTTTTGTGTCCCATTCAGACTTGTATATTCTGCCACGGAAGGTCAATGGTCACAAAGTCTCTGCCCGCGATGTCATCCACATATGGCACCATGGTTTCAAAAATGTTCCACCAGTTGGGTCCTGGTTGCCACACCAAAAGGTTCGTCAACAGAGCAAAATATCTCGCTGGAAGAAAATTGTGGAAATTTTTGAAGTCGATTGCAATGGCAACATGCAATTGTTTGAGAGAAAATACTCGAACAAGACTGGAGATCTTTTGCCGATTGCGGCTATTATTTCAAAGTTCGAGGCTGAAAAAAATGCGCTCGAGGTAGACAGTGGTATAAACATTAAAATCGATCAAGTGACACAATCTTATTGATTTAGCCATTGTATTTCATCATTTAAACAACCGTTCGTTTGTTTAAAAAGTTTCGTAAGGCCATCGTATACGAGCAGTTTTGATCAAAGGCTTTTCCAGTAGAATCTTATTTAGCGCTTTTCATTGTACCTTTGATCATCAACTGATATTAGATGTATTGACTGTGCGAGGTACGACGCTTGAAAAATTATTTGACTTCTTTTGGTCAACTCTTTTGTAAAATGATTCATAGTTTAGGGACCCAGTGGGGAGTCTTTTTCTAAACTCTAAGCACAACTGTTCCAGACTCCACTTTATATGCTTATGTTGGTTTATTGTGGTTTAAGGTGGGGTACTTCTTTTAACAAATTGTAAATCGTAGTTAAGAGTTATTTGATGTACTCTAGTTCCTTGACCTTCTATTTAACAATCCCGTTGTGAATGGCTTTGGTGGCGAAGTTGCATCTATTTTCAAAGTGTTCGCAGAAGTGGTTGAAAGTCCACTGATTTGGAAGCAGTTGTAATTGAGGGAGACACTGGCAGGTTTTTCGAAAATTTTGAGACAACTCCTGCATTTTTTCCACAGACAGGGAGGAATCCCTAATTTTCCAATGCCCCTCGGATGTTAACAATATCAGAAACTCTCTCTCGTCTCTCTTTCGTTTTCAAATTTATGGTATATGATCTGAATATAGTTTTGGATTTGTTTCTGCGCCACTCCTAAGCACATTCACAATCACTTATGTTTTTATGGGCTGGGCGTTTTTCTCCAAAATAATTTCATGCATTGTTATGTAAACATGACATGTTCATAAGATTGAATAACTGCAGCTGTATATTGTATATAAGTGTTAAGCCTTGTCCAAATGCTTACAACAATTCGCTCAATATTTTCCGTCCTAAAAACTCCTTCTGGATAGAATAAGAGGGTTCTTAAAGGAGTATCTTGGAAATAACAGCTAGAAACTGGACAACAACTAGAAATGCTTTGGCATCTTGTGCATTCTGAACAGATTGTAATTTCTCGACAATTCTGGACAGTGATGAAAGGCGATTCACGGTGCTATAACGACAAGCACTACAAGACTGGGAAATGGCTGTCGCTCTTGCCATCCCCTGCAGATGAACAACCTCGAATGGAGAATCATAAGTAGCTAATTGCAATTTACACCCTTTTAGTAGCTAATGCTGATTGTTGTTGCGAGCATTTGATCAAGGCTTTTTATCTGACTCTCCAACTGGTGTATAGGTCTTGTAATTAATTTGCATGGTATCTAAAAATAGTGCGAATGATTACACGACATAGTAATGCTTTTGTATATTATTGTAAATGTAGATGAGGTGCAAGTAACGCTGTTGGAGTACTTCAAGACATAATCGATGCTTTTTGCTTGTTTCAAGCTGGCTGGGTATCTTCAGTTTTGGTGTAACTACATAAGCAATGTCACATGTTGTACTTATGTGATATACTGAACAATTAAACGTGACGGATATTGTACCTTATCTTGTTTGATCATGTAAATACGAATGATAACCAATGTCTTTTTCTTTTAATTTGATCTCTCGGCGATTTTTGAGTGCAGTCTCTTGAAATTCAGCAGAAATAGCTTCTTTTTCTCTGTCGATTTTGTTGCAGATGTTTTCACTTGCAGAGACCGTCCAATACTTTTTGTAAATTGTTGGAAATGCAGAAATGGTTGAAGGAGAAAGTACTCTATAGCTCGGATAGGTAACCGCTGGGAAATGAACGATGCTTTTGTTCCAGTTCAAGATAACTGACAGTAACCTTGTGTTTCTCCGATGCAAGAAGAACCTGGTGGTTATTGTAAAATGCCTCGTGCATCTGACAACTTGGTACACCTAAATTCAAAGAGAGTTTTGTTAGTAAAAATGGTTCAGTCTATTCTTTGGGAAGACGTCAAAATCGTTTTCTATCTCACGAGCTACCTCTCACCTTTGGAGTCCAAGAATTTGCGTAATAGTTAGCAATTCTTGAATAATAAGCAGATTTCAGTGCGCAAATGCTTATTATTAACAAAAGCTCTTCAATGTTGACCATAAGAGCATGTATTGAGAATGATTTACTTGTTAATTGGATGACCATTACTTCTCAGTTCCAACCATTCTCCAACGTTTATTAGAATTTTTTGTGCAAAATTCAGGCACGTTTTAAATAGAGCCTCCTACCTGTAAGATTCATTTACTTTAAGGAAATAATAAAAAGTCTTGTTTTAATTCATCGTTGTGACTCTTCCTTCGCGAGGCATAAATGTTTCAAGGTTTTAGTGACGACAAATTTTGATGCCATTTTATGAACATTATTAAATATTGGCTGAAGAAATCAAAATTTAGTCATGTGGCAATTCTCTATTATACTTTTATGATGTCATGTTTGAAATGTGAACAAAGATTATACCCTTGAGCCAGAGATTTTATTCCACATCTACAAATGGTGTCATGATTTACTGATGAATGTAAAAAAGTGGGTTGGACCTGCTAGATCGTGTTAAGTTCAACTAGTAGTAGTAGTAGTTGTCCTTCAGGTCGTTCGACCCCTGGTGATGTTATGAACCTGACGTCTCCATTCAGCTCTATTTTTAGTGTCTTTGTTGAGCTGATAAACATTTCTTGTTGTCATTGTCTTAATGTTGTCAAACCACTTTGTTGCAGGTCTTCCTCTTCCTCTTTTCCCTTCAATTTTTCCTTGCATTATCAGTTTTTCTAAACTGTTGTCTGCTCTATTTATGTGGCCATAATAGGTTAATTGCCTCTTTCTGATGGTGTTGAATAATGATCTTTCTGTTTTTATTTGGCCTAGTACCCATTCATTCGTTCTTCTAGATGTCCACGGCACCCTTAAGAGTCTTCTCCATACCCAAAGTTCAAAGGCTTCAATCTTTTTCATTTCTGCTTTTCTTATTACCCATGTCTCACTTCCATATGTAACAACAGGAAATACTAATGCTTCGATTATTCTTATCTTGGTATTTAGTGTGATGTTTTTGTCTTTCATTATCGTTGTCAAATTGGTCATAGCAAGTTCAACTATCACTAGTATATTTTATAACATTATAGAATTATTATTATGACAAATTTTAATGCCCTTAATTGTTATTTGCGTTTCAATGCAGCTGATACTGCTAATTCACGTGGAAGCAGTTCTTTCTTAGTTTTTTTTACCAAGATCGATCCTGCAAATCATTGGTGTTTTACCATGTGACTCTGAAGTAGCCAAATATAATGAACCGTCTGCGCAAAGGAATAAAAGAAGCTGTTGACAAGGTGAGTGACCCAAGCAATTGTTATGACATTCACACGTATACTGATTGTACCCTAGTAAAAGATAATGAAACCGGTAAGAGATATATGGTATCCTTTCATTTATATCTTTCACCTTACAGTTTTCCTTAGATAAAAGGCATGAAAAGTGTGAACGAATTACTGTGCTCTGGGCCTTGTTCATACGTCTTGGAGCCAAGGCCAAGCTACATTGATTTGATACGGAAAGAGTTTGTGCTCCTGTGGCCATACCTTGGATCTAACTGGTTTTGCATATTTGGAGGTGATTTGGAAATCGACTGGATGGTAAGCCTCAGCATAAAACAGAGAGTTTATAATCAGATATATGATGGACTTCCATGACTAAATTGGAGAAGAAGTTGCGAGACCAGTGAAATCGAAGTAGAAGTGCTGCATGCAGATGAAACAAGTTACGGGTGTAAATGCAACGGACAAGAAAACTCTCAAAGTTTATGTTATTAGATTGACTCTACCGTCTTACAAATAACCGTGATGCCAATAACAAGTGATGGGTGTAAATGCAACGAACAAGAGAAGCACTGAAAGTATATATTTCTACACTTCTAGATTTAGCCTGCTTCCTTCCAAGTAACCGTGACGCCAAATAGGCCTATAGAAAGTGATCTTGACAAACATGCTATATTGCCAATGTTCTCGTTTTGCTTCATGTAAAATTGCATAAGATGGCGTCTTTACAAGACCACCATAGTTTCATCAGATTATTACAGATTGGTGTAGAAAAACTCTGTAGATTCATTATTAACTTGTTTGTTAGTTTCCCTCTGGAAGGTCAGCTTCCCACCAATGAACTAAAAACAAAAACTTGACAAAATACTTTTTATTCCCAGTTGTTTTTAGATACAACATTAAACTGATGAATAGCTGGCTGCAGTGGATGAGACATGAAGTTGGGAGATTGATGCCGTATCGTCCAAGGTGTGTTCGAAACTCTTCATATGTTGCAAGACGAGATAGCCTCACTGTTGTGAGACTCAATCCAACCAGGACACGTAATATTATGATGAAAACACTTGTTTGGCTTTATTTTTGACAAGAAACCTTAAACTTGGAATCTAACGTTGTGTTTAAACTTGCTTTCTTTCATTAAGTCACTAAAATTTTACTTGTGTATGCTTTTTTGTTTAATCATTTATAAAGAGTCTATTATTATTATGAGATTCAAAATAATGCAAAACTTTTCAAATTAATTCCAAATCAAGGAAGAAAAATCAAAAGTCCAGAGAGAAAACTTATCGTTGAATTAGTTATGCTCTGAAAGCAAAATGATGCTTTACACTAAACACTTAAAAGTAGAACTTATAAAACAAATCACTGTCACATTTTATGCAAACGCCAAGCAAAAGGCCTTTACTTTCCATCCCTATTGCAACATATATATCCTACCTTTGGCATTATCCAACCTTTATACTCTAACGAGTGCTAAATGAAATGTACTTTTGTATGCCATGTTTTCTGGTTCCATGAGTATATACTTTAGTGCCCTTTGTTTTCCCTTCTCCGTGTAATTTTCAAACTTTGCGGTACCAAAGACCGCACCCTTGCTTATGTTTTGAAACAACAAGAGATTCCATAGGAAATCGTTCCAAGGCAGTACTTCTGTATTTTGTAGTAAGCATGGATTTTAAAGTTTCAGGACTTTTGAAAATCTCGCAGGTCTTTCTAAGGTCGAAGAATATTGTTTCTTGATAAGGAATGTTTTTACGGAAAATCGGTTTAAACATATTTTGGAACAAAGGGTTAAAAGACTAATTCAAATTTCTCCCAAAAATTGCTTGTATAATTTTAGGACGTTTTCACAACTGGAGGACCTTCCTTATAAAAGTCGAAATATTCTACCAGAACAGACTTTTTTTATTTAGTTATATTTCGAAGTTCAAAATATTATATGGAAAGGTGTGAATGTTCGTGGTTGTAAAATCATTAATTTTATATTAACGCGTCTCGCTTCAACGATCTTTCGCATAGTTCTTATAAGAACTTAAGTTCCACTGTAAAGGCTGGTTTTCATAAGTTAGATTTTATCGTAATTCATCGGATTTCACCGAAGGACAGAGGTACCGGGGGTCGAGGCCTTGCCCCCCCCCAAATACTTAGGTAGCATAGGTAAAATGCTCTTATTTTGTATAATATGGCTGTTGCTACACTTATTTATCAGGGTTGGCCCTCAGACAGAAAGTTGTATCTCGGTCTATCATTTCATGAAGGGGTGTACGATAAAACTGGATCATTTCAAACCACATGAAAGCTACATGTCCTACTACTTCATCATAATTCATCGCAATTGATCCCCGTGAATAAAAAATAATGTTTCTTGCGATGAAATGGGACAATTCCGATGAATTACGTTCAATGAAATATATGAAAAATGTAACTCCCATAAATAGGACGAATAGCGATTAAGTGGTCTCGTTTTGATATGACTTGGAAATCATTTTAATTTTCACATCATGGGAAATCTCAAGCTGATGACAAACACCAACTTCTTGAACATGATTCAAGAGTATCCAATAATTTATATTCGTTTTCGCAAGGTTCACAGCTCTTCAAAGATTACATGAAAATTGTTCCAAACTTATAGTTAGGCAAAAAGTGTGAGGGCTTTAACACTAAATCCCCTCTCACATAGGCCCCCTCCCTTTCGGGTCCGGCATGCCTGATTGCATCCAATAATTCACTGTCGATGCAGAAGCTATTTCTGCTGCATTCAGGGGCAAAGTGGCGATCGTCACCCGGGCCCTAAGATATGCAAAGTAACAAATTAATTACAGACCCTTTCTAAAAAAGTTGAAGAAGAAAATTTTCATAAACTGCGTGCTGGCTTCACGACAATGCAGGTAAATGCGTAGCTGGCCACAGGGCCCCACTATGACCAACATCCACTATACAGAAAATCTATTTCAATTCCCGCACGAAGATAAGAAGTCGGTCCTACTTCCTAGTAAATATGTTGAAACTGTATGTAGATATCAAGAAGTTTTTGTCTTTAGGTAGTCGTCAGGAGTCGCTATTGTTACATTTCTAGCTAATAATGACCTACCATACGTGATTAGACGTCTCCAAGGGTCATATTACTTTAAACGAAGAATGTTTCGCAGGAAGAAAGCTTTTCCAATCGAGAAAAGCGCCAAATTTTTGAAGTCGACTTTCGCGAAAGAAGCGAAATAGGATCTTTCGCAAAAAAAATTTGGCGCCGAATCTCCACTTTTTTAACGCCGAATCTCCACTGACGCTTTTTCGCAGCGTTCTTCCGAAAAGTTCGCGACGACACATGCGCATAAAGAAAAATTTGAGAGAAAAGCGTTCACGTATCGAAAAATTCGATTAACGAACAGTTGAACTAGTTTCTACTTATTGTCAAGCAAAATTTCCGAGGTAAACATAGGACAACAGAACTGCATGATTTCACAATAGGCCTTTGCAAGATTATATTCTCACAGCAAACGGAATGTAGTAGCAGTGAAACTAATTTGCAGGTACATACTTTACTGGTAAGCTATAGTTACGAGTAAGCTTTAATTCTATTCCACATCCAAATTCAATTTTTGAAATGCCGATTTAATTGGTATTCACCTTTCTGAATTCTGTCTTTATGTAATTTGCGCATCTATACGTGCTATACGTGCAATCTATATATTAAAAGCTTGATTTCCTTTCCAATGTAAATATAACTGAATTTATTTTTCTTCTCATAGACAAAAATCGTTAAAGACAGCCCCGAGACGACTTCTTTGTTTTAAGAATCTTGCGCGCGCTGAAATTTGATCGAAATCAGTGGATATGAAATAGGCAGAATTTTGTACGAACGCTTTAGCGAACGCTACAAAACAAGCGTCAGTGGAGATTCGGCTTGAGTAAAAATCATGAATTTTGCGCAAAAAACATTTCTATTTAACTGAAGTTTCCTTTTACTTTTATTCCACGACACCATCAAAATAACGAAAATAACATTAAAATTTGCCAAAACAATCATTCTTCATCAAAGTTTGCAAGGACATCATCAGCCAAATTTTCTGGAAATTTCACAAAAAACCTTTGCTAATTGCTAATTATTTGCTAATTGTTTTAAAAGTTTTTCTGCTTGCTAATTGTTAATTAACAACGTGTTTAGAATTAATAATTTTGGTACAGACTAAGTAATCGGTATCATTTTGAGTTCTTTCGATGATGTTTTAGAGTGAATAAAGTTATAATTTACTCAATTTCAAACTGTAGCCAGGATACTGGCCTAGACAAATGAGAAGGCGAAACAAGTAAGAACAGAACTAGCAGGTTTATTTTCGTTGCTCGATTTCAGAATATAACATTAGGTTCGCTTGGCAATACTGCGGGAAGTGTCTAGGAAAATTTTTATGTACTATTATCAGAATTTCTTGGAGTTGCAAATAGAATAGAACTACTGATTTGCTGTTATTGTGCAAAGTTTAACTGTATAGTATCCTTGATTTGAATAGAGTACAGCACCAATGAATAATTGATTTGGCCTGAGCATATTTTAGGATATGCTTTACATTTAGGAACTGGTAACCTCAGTTGATATGTCTGGATCGGCCCGATCGGCCGGGTAGGGGTCTATGAATTGGCTCTGCTATAAGATCCCTTCCCAACCATTTGGTTCTTTTTTTAAAAATTTTCAATTTCATCTATTTAATGACTTGGTATCATAGGTTATGGTAAACCTAGTCCAATTCCTGTACTCGTTTCTCTATTTTTTATTAATCATAACTTAAATTGTAATTCTTGTTGGTTGAAATGAAAGCTCTTATGTCTTATGTCTTATGTCTTATGTCTTATGTCTTATGTCTTATGTCTTTGTGGGTGTGGTTAAAAAAAGGTTTCAAAAAACGTCTGTCACACCCGGAACCGGGCCCGTTTCGTTTACTAGCCACCCTGCAGTTATGATGCCAGACTGACTCTGGCTGTATTTTCTACATTTGATGCAAAAAGTATGCTCACATTCTGTTTCCAAAGGTGAATGGGATGACTTATGATGATAACGATCTTTGAAAACCGAGATACAATGAATTAGTACGAATTGGGATGAATTGCGATCATTGATTTTCATATCGTGATTGATGAATCCCGATGACTTCCTCTTTGCTCTCACGAGACTTCTTCTTTCAGTCAGATTGCTTTCTTTCAGCTTCGGACATTCCTTGATGCGATGAGGTCCATCACAACCCCAGCACTGCAGGCCTTCACTAGCATCAGTTGCTGCTGTCATAACCTTTGAATACTTTTGTTCCCTTTTCTGTAAACAAGAAAGAGCGTTTCTGCCCCAGACTGGGTCATTCAACTTCATGGCCTCTAACTCAACAAAGTCTACTAGATTCGAGAACTTCACCACCTTTCCATTTTTATGCAACTCCTGCACAGTTCTTCGCCAGCGATCATGCCTGTAGACTGGTAGCTTCTTCAAGATCTGTCGCAGGTTTTCTGTATGCTCAAGTATGTTCATAGTTCTAATGCATCGAGTTGCAGCTTGGCATTCTTTCAAAATTATTGAAAAGGCGTAAATTGACTTTGGATCTTCAGCCTTAATCGACGGCCATTGTAAAACCTGTTGCACATAGCTGTTAGCTATCACCTCAGCATTACCATAACGTCGTGACAGTTGTTTGATAGCTGCCTTGCATCCAACATCTGAGGGCAAAAATGAATACCCTGTAACAATGCGATGAGCTTCTCCAGTAGTAAACTGTTCTTGATAAGCCATCTTTTCGTCATCATTGCAAATTTTCTCTATTCTGGACTTGAATTGCCTCATGAATTCGGTGAAAGACAGGCAATCTCCATCAAACTTTTTAATTTCCAATTTCGGGTTTTGAAGTTCCAGAAGAACTTCACCAAGTTTTTTAAAATGGGTTCCTTTCTTGTAATGTTTACAGCATCAACACCACACAGACTTGAATCTTCATTGTCTTCTCCTTGTTTGTCCAGCCTTTCGTTGTAAGCAACTTCTTCATCCAAACTTTGACTTTCAGCTTCTTCATCCTCCATTTCTTGAATGACTTGACTTCTTGACTGAGATTTCACGATTTTTTCTCTAATCTGACTTCTCTCTTCTTGTTGCAACTCAATTCCCATAAACTTAACTCTTCGCTCGAGTTCCTGTTCCTTTATTAGTAGAATTTCCATTTTCTTCAGCTTTTTAATCTTCCGGGATTCTTCCGCCAATCTGGCTGCAGATTTTCCGCTCGCTGAGGTTGATCGTTTTGAGGCAACACTTTCCTCCTCCGCTCTTCCAACGAACCAGTCTTCCGCACATGTTTTCACATTTGCAACCCAAATTTCCTTTTCCTGAGACCAAGCTTCAGGATGCTGTTTTTTGGTAGCTTCATCCAATTGAAGACAATAGGTGTCATTGGCCTGTATGAATTTTTCATAGGAACTCATTCATTCCGAATATCTCGTTCGCATTGCCTTAACAGGCTGATTCTCTGCCATGAAAGACCTCAGCTCCTCAGACGCTTTCTTGAGGCCCTTCCACGCACCATCAAGAGCTTTAAATCTCAGTTCCTGTTGATATTCATGGCCTTTTTCAGTTGGTTTTCTGTTCCTTGACGCCATCTTGATCACCACAGTCTGGCTGACCACAATCTACAGTCTTTCCACAACAGATTCACACCAAGATCAGTTGTTAATATTCATGTCATTGCCTTTCAGGTGCGACAACGTAAAAAGTACACAGGGCTTGAATAATGCGATCTCTCTAAATCGATTCACTAGAATTAATCAAGAATATAATAATCAACAACGATAGAAGTTGATATCACCTGTTCACACGTTCTTGCTTGGTATCTCCTACAGGTTGAACATACCCTTGCTACCTTATTTGCAAGCTGACTAACTCCATATATCCAGTAGCGTTCTCTGGTCTTTGCTACAGTGGCATCTTTTCCAAAGTGACCAACTTTCTGATGTGCATCCCTAACTATCAACTGCACGATGGGTGAGCATTTTGGTAGGACAATAGGATGTCGAACGTCGAATGGAATTTCAGCCTTTAGAATTCTACCAGCGATTCTTACCAGGCCTTCATTTGTAATTATGGGAGCATACTTGAACAACAAACTTCTTCTGGAATGAAATGAATTGTGAAATGAAATAAGATGTAAAAAATAAGAAATGAATAAAATTTCTTAAAGAAAAGTGAGATTCTTCTAAGAGGACTACCTTACCACAAAAAGCTCCATACTTTTTCCCTCGTTTTTTTTTCTAGATATACCTTTACGTTGGTATACATTCTAATGGAAAAAGAGCTTTTCGTTCGATTATTTAGCAAAGTTTTAAAGCGAAATGTTTTTTGATTCTATTGAGATTTCTGTTACTTTGCTTTTTACCAAAAAAGTTCCATACTTAACACCTCACCTATCACCTCCATACTCATCGTTGTTTTTGCAGAAGAATAATGGTTTATTTGAAGGGTCGACTTTTTATAGAAATTTAAGGTCATAAGCTTTGAAAAATCGCCAAAATCTATCGAATTTTCTTCCTCTAGAAAATACGGGTTATTCCTTTCTATGTGATTAGAAGGAGCCACCATTCGATTAAGTTTCAAAAAAACATCCTTTTGCGGAAGAATAACGGTTTTTGAAAGGTCGATTTTTTTGAGAAATGTAAGGCTAAAGGCTTAGAAAAATCACATAAAATTTTTCGAATTATTTTCTCCAATAACTTGTTTCTACCCTTATCTGTGATTAAAATGAACCAAAAATCAACTTCAATCAATCAATCAATTGTTATGCCGTATCTGATTCTCTGTTATCAGCTTTTTGACTTCCAGTTTCCCTGTTATCAGCTTTTTAAATTAAAGTTCCGGCGTTCTTCTAATTGGCTAGCAGCTTCAAGCTATCCATGTTTGTTGCTCTTTGCCTTCTCTTGTCTCTTTTACCTTAAAGCTTTCCAGTCAATAGCTGATGTTCTAATTCTTTTCTTTCTGCATAAGTGTCCTAAAAACTCATGTTGTCTTTGGCTAATTGTTTCTATCATTGTTCTGTTACTTTCTGCCCTGGTCAGTACATCTTGATTCTATGCGTCCAGGATATCTTCAGCATTCTTCTCCAGAACCACAGCTTCTATTTTGTTCTGCAGTTCTTTTGTAATTGTGCAGTACTCCGATCCATATAACAGTGTTGACCACACATAGCTCCTTAACACACGTGACTTTGTCTCCCAGCTACTGTTGTTATTTGTAAGTATTGGAGACATCTTTCTGCTAAAGGTATCTTTTGCTAATGCTATTCGTTTGATGCAGGGTTTTTTTAAAGTGCAGTTCTACACAAAATGTGCAGTTCTAAAAGTTTTTGTGCAGTTCTAAATAAAAATCCTCGCAGTTCCAAAATTTTACTTTAAGGAACAAAAATTCAGGAAAACTGCAGAAAAACAAACAAAAGTTTGAATTATGAAACACATAAAAGATAATAAAGATGACGCTTAAATTAACCAAAGACCTGTTAGCATATAGAAATTATAGATGCAGAAAGATATTCGATGTAGAATAAAGATATAAATTTTGATAGTCGCTACATCGTTTTTGAGTCATATATACAAGAATAACGAAATTAAAAGTGTCAAAGCAGGAACTCTTAAATCAGAGAACATTAAAAATTCAGAGCAAAAGACAAATCATGTCACCAGTTTCGAATTTAAATTTTACCTTTGTATGGTCAAACAAAACAGACCGACAACCAAATATGAGACAATTTAACATTTACTTCTCAAGCTGCTGTGCAATTGCTATTTATACCTTGCATCCGTATAATTGGCATAGCTCGAAAAAAAACGATATTAAAGCTTTTAAAATATTATATATAACATCGCTATGAAATGTCGCCCCACAAACACAATTTTATTTTTCAAGATTCTATAAAGTTGACTTTGGTTTCTTGTGATTATTTCTATATATCCAAGAACTCACAATGGTTGGCATAAGCTCGAAATATTGGTTTTCTTTTACAATGTACTTTATAACTTTGCTTCCAAGTTAAGTTAGAATCTACTTTCAAGAATAAAATAATTCAAGAATAAAAAGTGACACACCCAGTAATCCTAGAGGCACTTACAAATGCCACTCGCGACGTAACTGCATAACATGCCAACACATCACAGACAGTACTACTTCTTTTAACTTTACTAACACTGACAAAAACTACGACATAAAACAAAGACTGGACTGCAACTCTACTAGCGTTCTTCTAACAAACGGACACAATAACTGCCAATACATCGGACAAACAAGCAGACGACTGAAAGACAGATTTAACGAACACAGACGAGACATTATCAACAAAAAAGTAGACAAATCTGGTGTTGCAGAACACTTCTGTAGCCAAGAACATACCATCAATGACCTTACTGTAACACCATTACTGAAACTCAACGACAAGCGAGTCGCGAGAGTGTCCGACGAGCCAAAGAGCCTGGCAATACCTCATTGGCCTGGCAAACACTCTCACACCGAACGGCATGAACAGAACTACTGACCGTTAACCTTATAGCAACATTTTCATTATTTCATATTATAGTACTTCATCCCCATTACGTCTTCATTCCACCACCACCACCCACCCTCTCTCATTCGCCACCCTTCCCTCCTCTACCACTGCGCTGCATTCATACCATTCCACATCAGCCAATCCGACACCACCATCGCCTCTTTTAAACATGTAAAATTTTTAGCCCGTTAACTTTTGCTCTGATGAAGCCCCGTATGCCGGGGTGAAATATTAGCCTTTACTGATTTACGTGTTTTTATTGTTGTTTATTCTCGGCGTATTGCGGTGTTTCATATTTGCTACATTTTTATCGACTTTTCGCCACAAGAACTCCTTGGAGCCCGTCGAGCAGCTTGCTACAGTGGCCTTTTCTTCATTCACACATATTAACAATGTCCAAACCTAAACTTTAGTTAGGGTATAGCAATGAGGTGGTGTATAGCCTCGTTTATATGTCATGTTTTTGTTCTGTTTCATTAACCTCGTATTGACATGAGTTTGATTTGATTAGAAGAACCTATGGTCGGTTATAGAGAGTTTGCACATTTTATTACACTGTTTTAACTGGCGCCGAGCAGCTATATCTAGATAAAAATAAACACACTAGGAAGGCAACTTTCTAATCCTTCAAAAAACGAGAGAAACACGCTACAAGCATTCAGGGAATTTTATATACTCGTGGGGAAATATGGTATGAAGTGGGCATGGGCTGAAGAGGATACATCAGATGCCAATAGGAAGGAACACAAAGCAAAGGTATTTGGCAGGTGTGCATTTACAGGCAAGCGATTGAAAACAGTTCTCAAAGCTGAATACAACAAAGATATGGCCAAGATGAAATCTGCTGATTTTGATGAAATGGTACAAAAATTGCATGAAAGATACCAGCCATGTCAAAACCAGGTACTTTTGAGTTTTTCACTATCAGTTTCATCAACTCAAACAGGAACCAGGTGTGAAAATTGACGCTTTTACTAACAAATTTGTCAACATGTTGATAAATGTGCATTCAAGGGTACATATGGTTCCTGTACTGATAAGGATCAAATTCATAAGACTTTGATAAGAAATCAAATAATAATAGGCACCATTATAGCTAGTACCAGAGAAAATGCTCTTGAAATTAAGAACATTGTTTGGCCTCTTTAATTTCAGCAGCCTGAAAAATTGAAGCCACCAAAAAAGCCATAAAATTGATAGACTCTGATTCCCGCTCCTTCAAATCAACTCTGTTGAAGACCCCCAACATACAACAGTAAATAAAGTCGGTAAAAAAGGGGGAAAATACTCCCAGAAATCCCAGTGGGAAAATTTTCAGCAAAATTTCATGCCTGCCCAGGGTGCCAATAAAGTCCTGTGTGGCGCTGGCTGTGGCAGAAGCAACTGTGACAGAAGCCCAAACTGTGCAGCTAAAAATGCTTTTTGCAATATATGTGGTAAAAAGGGTCATTTTTCTGCTGTCTATTGAGGTATTTCCATGAACACTTCCATCACACATACACATCCAACGAAAATCAATACCATATCAAGCAGTCATAAAAAGCAGAACTCAGCCTTGGTAAAACAAAAATTCAGGCACTAATTGATGCTGGTGTGGAAGTCAGTGGCGGATTCAGACCGGGCTCCAAGGGTTCTGGAACCCTGTCAAATTTTCCTAAGACACATAACACCAGTTTTCCCTTTACTTTCGAATAAATCGCAACGAGTCCCAACGTCAAATGACCTCTTGTACCACAACCTTTGCACATGTTCTCTAAATATGGTATTGTGAAAGAAAGGAACCCTGTCGTAGCCATGGTTATT